TGGGACAGTTGGGTACTCTGGGACTAACTGGTTCTAGAAAACACAAAACTGAGGTAGGCTATTTTAATACTTAAGTTCCACCTAGTGGACAAAATTGCAAGGGTTTTCGTTTGTGACAATCTATAGCAGTTTGCTTGCAGTTACACCAATACAAAGAGTGGGAGAAAAATACCACAAAGAAGATACATTTATAATGAGTAACTATCCTGATGAATAGCTTTCTTAACACCAATCCATGCTCTTCATAAAGATATTTAGCATTATTCTTCTGGAAGATTTAAATTAGGATAAGATCACAAGTGGCTAAATTCTTTACATTGCTGTTTCCAGCAAATCATAACCTTAAAGGAGTGGAGGATGGCAAAACCACATGCTTCCAATGAGAATATTTTTCTAGTTTATGAGCTGAAATAACCAGCTAGAAAACTTATTGTATATAATAAAGATATGATGAAACAATTGCACACAAATTAGTAAAAATATATCTTACCTCAGTTTCATATTTCCCCTGCATCCAAATTACAAAGGTTGTAATACATCTAAACCTATATACTGTACCCCAGTATAAACACCATGGACTGATCAGGACTAGATCAACTCAAGCCCACCATGCAAACTGTATATACATAAAAGCATGAAGTTGCATAAAATTTATTTTTTCACCTGTTTGTACATCATTCCCTTTAAATTCTTACATGTCGGCAACATATAATTCCACAGAACAATAAATAATTTGCATTCATTTTTCTCTTGAATCAAAGGTATTTACATCTTTTTTAACTAAATGACAGGTACAAAACATCGGCATCTCAATAAATATCATTTTGACACCAGAATCCATTTCCCCATACAATTGAAAAGGTTTTTAAAGGCATAGAAGCACATGAGATTTATTAGGCAACAATAATGGGCCATCTTGGCAAAGGTGAAGAACCCAGGATTTCATGCAGGTTAAAGGCTTGAATTCTTAATAAGAGTTAAGGATCTGGTCCATCAACACTGAAGTCAACGGAAAGACTTCAGTGAGCACTGGTTGGGCCCTAGATGTGCAGCTGGGTGGGCAAGTAGAACTCCCTCTGAAATTCTGAGTGGATAAATGGCTCATGATGGTGATTTGTGCAGTTAGCTTGTTTTCACACATGGCTGTGACAACTGCATGTGAGAATTAGGTGTGTATTTTGCACCCAACTCTGCAGCAGCCATTACAAAAACAAAAAGACGCCCCCAAACCTTAAGTCTTGAATTTTAAAGAAGCCAAAGGGGTTCAGGCACCTTACTCTTTTAGGTGCCTTTGAAAACCCCAGTCTAACCTCCTAAAACAGCAATAATTTCCCACTGGAGTCACAAACAGGTTTAAATGAGTTTGCAATGAGATTTTATGGTTATATTAGTTCAGCAGACTATAGAAAAGTAGAGGGTTTAGTGCTGCTCCTTCTGGCTCTGCAGCAGCTGTAGCACTTAAACATAGTGTTCCCACAGCTGTGATGACACTAATGATGTCACTGCTTACAGCTAATACAATTTTGGTGAGATAAGATACTATATAGGTTCAAGCTGTTACTGTTGAACAAACAGCATGTTAAATTTCAGCTCCATTCTAAACAAAGGAAAAGAGATGGCTGTTAAGAGAAATAGGACAAGATTTTTTTGGGGGGGGGGAGAAGTATGGGATATGTGTGTGTGTGCGCATATATATATATATATATATATATATATATATGCATATGGCTATAAGTAATGAAATGCAAGAAACATAAAATCTACCTCCTATTTTAAAAAAAAGCATGACAGCACACCTTTAGTTAGTTACATCAGTGATTCAAAAATGAACTGCTTATGAAATATAGGCTATTGTGGTACAACTGGAAAGGGAAATAGAGCACTGATCAGAGATCTTTCTAAAGCATGGGAAGCAAGAGCAAATGATGAAGCACATACTGCTGTCTCCTATAATACTACTCGTAGAACAGCCCCAGAACATGGAAGTTACATAAACTGCTACAATTCACAAATATGAAGAAGTTGCTAAACAAAACATACATACTGGTTTAAAAAAAAAAAAAAAAGTCAGTTATTCCAAATAAGCACAAAATTCAAGTATAACAGAGGAAAAGATGTACTGTAACCTAATCTTCCAGTATGGCATCTATTTACTATGTGCTGTAAATACAAACATCTGAATGAAAATTTGCTTTTAAAAACTTTTTTTTGGAAAACATATGGGGAAATAGTTTACAGACAAAGTGCTAAACTTAAAAAAATAGAACAATCATACCTCCCCCGTCCCTAGTGTTTGTAAGTGGCAGTTTTACTTTTTTTTTTTATTGCTTTTTAAAAAAAATAAAATTTATACCCAGAGAGAAATACTTCCTAGATTTACAACCTTGTGCAAGAAACTAGCTGTAAAGGAACAAGGCTACACCCCTCTCAAATAATGCTAAAGATGATAATCCCACCATTGGTAATATGAGTTCCTTATTAAGGTTATGAAGCCATTAAATATTACTGAAATTGCAATTCACTCCCATTCTTGGTATAAGTTATGATTTTGCCAATATGGTCCATTTAGTGTAAACTGCATTGACTCCAGGAGACAGTGAATTCTAACTTGTACTTTCCAAATATTTACATACAGTAGCATGGCACTGTTATTCTTACTGGACATTTAACTACTAATACACAGCTATTGGGGCAGGAGTCATTACAAAGATATCTACTGTCATGTATTTTCAAAAGGACAAGAGACTTAACTTGTCAGTCACAACAAGTTGCCAGAACCATTCTTGATTATTACATTTAAATCACTAAATCAAAATTTTGATCTGGGAAGCCAGCAACAAATGCATGACTCACCCTATCCTGTAACTGTAGCAAATCGCTAGGAGAACATGAAGGATCTTTTTGGGGAACAGATGTAATTTACAAAAAGCTGACAACCCAATTCTTCTACAACAAAGCTTTTCAGACACGGCTTTTCTTCTCTGAAGCAAATCATAGAAAAATACGGAATTGAACCTCCCCTGATAAAAACCTGTATTTAAAAAATGAGAGTGGAAATATTTTGCTGGAAAAAGTTTGTGAGGGGATGTGGGAAAGTGAATTTTTAAAAAATACCGTAAACAAAAATACAACAGCTAGCTAATTTTTCTTTCTTGTTGGGTTGTTTATATAGAGGATGCCATTGAGTATTCTGCTTTTATGAGGTACCAGAGAAAAGACAAATCAAAGCCATGTAGCACAAAAGAAAAGCCACTGTTTTATCTTAACAAGCGCTTGCTCTTCTTATTCCTCTAAAAGAGCTAATAGACCTTGAAACATAAGACTCTAAATCAAGTATGCAGAAAGGAGACCATTGTAGCCAGCAGTGCTGGAGGCTACATTTCCCATCTTGCACTGCAGTCTAAAACATTTATTCATCCACTATCAAAATGGTCATACATAGAACTACTGAATGGTAAGGACCTGGTATTTCCCGCGATGGCATGAGAAGGAACAAAGGAGCAAGGAGGAGGGTACAAAAGGGCTCTAGAACACACAGTAGGGGTGAAAAAAGCCAACAGTGCAGGCTCCCTTTTCCCCCAGGTTCATGGCAGCCCCCTTCAGGTCAATTCAGTGTGGTGACAGCACTGTCAATTCAGAGAATGTGAAGGTAGAGAGCATGGCATGCCCTCTTCTGAGCCCAGTAGGTTTCCCATCAGGAAATCCAGTATGAACTTCATGCCCTTTGAGCCCTATTGGAGGAACAGGGCCATTGGCAACATGGCTCCAAAGAGGAACAAGCTGTCAGGAAGAGGGGGAGATCCAGGAAGATTTCCACTTATGTAGATAACCCAGAATCTACAGGGCAGAAATCAATATACTTCAACTGATCCTTTGTTCTGCAGAAAGGAAAAGCAGCAGGTTTTGACTCACCCACTCTGGGAACATCCTAGATACTGCTTCAATTCATGCTCCTGGTTTCTCCAGGGGGTTGTTCTTTGAGAAACAATGACAGGTCATAAGGGCTTTTGCAGAGCATGTGCACGCATCTCCTCCTGCTTCTCAGCCATTTATGTGATGAAATGAATAACAGACACCCACTCCTTTCAAGATTGCTAAAGTGTTTGGAACTTGCATTACGTGGTCTTTGTTGGACCCACATGTATCCAGGGTAGCCATGTCATGCAGCATGTTCTTCCGAGAGATTAGATTTCCTAGTGCAAGTGAGACAACTAAGTAATGCTAGGGTTTTCTGGAGCTGATAATCCAAAACACAGAGGTGCAAGTCACTGCCCACTACAGATCTCATTTTAAACGCTGCTCCAATTCTGCATTTAAGTTTGTAAGCCAGAAAATGTTATTTATCATTTGAATGCTTGCGAAAGTCCCAGATGTGCAGCAATGGAAACAAAAGTTGGCAACCCATCAAAGAGATACACTATGGCAGAGAGGGCTTGCCCTGCTGCTCCCCACCTAAGCACAATTTCAAAACACCGCAAGGGGAGTTCAGGGTATTTGGATCAGTCATTGCTTGCCTCCCTGCTGACCCTGCCAATAAGGGTGCTTAGTTCCAGTTATGATGGTGGTTTTTATTATGTGGATTCTGCTTCACTAGAGCTGGATGGACAGAGACCACACAACTCATTTATCACAGACTAAAGTTATTAGATAAATGTGACTGTCATTAAAAGCAGGGCCGGCTCTAGGATTTTTGCCACCCAAGGCAAGAACAATTTTGGCCGCTCTCCCCACTCCCCGTTTTTTAATTACCCCCACCCCCGGCCCCGCCTCAACTCCACCCCTTCCCCAAATCCCCAGCCCTACCTCCTCCCCCCAGGCTCTCAAGCCTGGGAGGGAGAGCAGCGGCGCGCGAAACAGCCGCGGCCGCTCGGGATCTCCCCCTCCCTCCCAGGTTTGAGAGCCTGGGAGGGAGGGCGAGACTCCGAGCGGCCGCGGCGTGGGCGCCGCTCCTCCCCCTCCGGGCCACATTTTTAGGGGTGGCATTCTGGCGCCGGCCATGCCGCCCCTAAAAATGTGCCGCCCCAAGCACCAGCTTGTTTTGCTGGTGCCTAGAGCTGGCCCTGATTAAAACTATGCCACATGTGACCCAGTGGTGGAAGCCTCTATTAGCTCATTGCCATACTCCTAAGCTTTCCAGTATCCGCAAGGAATACTTTATAAATTATGTGGGTCAATGCTTTTTTAAAATAACAAAAAACAAACAAACAGAAAACCAAACACACCCCCTCTGGGAATTTTGCTGTTTAAAATAAATGGAAATCTTTTTATCTGTGCTTCACATTAAATAAACTACCATCTTGTGCCTGGGCTCAGTTTCTGACTGCTCTCAAACGTACGTCTATTGAGGCAAGTTCCAGTTTTAAACAATGCAAATTCCATAGTTATCTCAAATTGCCTCTCTTCGTAGACTGTGTCATGAATGGCGCGTGTAGATGACTGCCTAGGCTTATTTGCAGCTCATCTTCATTAATTCATCCTAACAGGAAACAGATTTTATGTAACTGTGAAGAGTAGCAGCCCTGTGACCTTTCCTTTCAGTCTCCAAGGATTCAAGACACGTCTGCCACATTGTCTGCAGAATAGGATGAGTCTCTTATGCTGTCAACACGTTCAAAAGCTGATCAGCTGCAAGTTTCCTTCCAAAAGGCTTTGCTTGAATTTAGGTAATTTGCTCCTATAACATAACTATATAGTGTAGTTATTTGTATATCATCAGCTCCTTTTAACAAGAAGCACAAAAGCTAAACAAAATGGAATTTTCCCTTTTTTGGATGATATTTCTCAATGTGCACTAACTGCTGGAAATCATCAAAACACACTAGATTTTCTACGTTCAGATCTTTCATTTTGATTGAAGGAAAAACTCAGTCAGTCAGGTTTTCAATTATGTATAGATCTGTTTTAACACTGGAACCCTACAATCAAAACAGCATGACACCACCCAGTAGTCAGCTGTTGGTAATACAGTACATTACCTATTTTAAGGGACTCCCCAAGACACACAAAAACTCTCTCTACCCGAATTGAAAAGATAAATAATAATATAAAAATATAACACAATGCAAGGAACATCACAGACACTTAAACTAAAAAAACAAAACAAAACATCTGTCACGTATAAACTTCAAGGTCATTTAGCAGCTTTCAGGTACTCTGATCTCACATGAGAAACCAATTATCATTGCAGTTACATGCATTTGACCCCAATTAAGTAAAACCAAGTGACAAAGACTGAACAAACTATCAAGTGCCCTACACCTCCCCAAAAGACTCTATTTACTGTTAGGTTTCAGTTTACTGCAGTTCTTAGTCTTTTTCATTAAAGCAGCACATAATATTGATTACTGCATAATCCTATCGGACATAGGTCATCTTACAATGACAAATACATGATTTTTGTCTCTCCGTGGTGTGCAAAATTAGTCTCTGCTCTGTAGACCGAGCAGCTCTATGACGTGAGCTTCGAGTAGCTTGGGGGAGAGAATCTTCGCCTCAGGTACTTCAGGACGTAGAGAGGAAGGCAGCTCACCAGAGTGATGACTGTGACCTTCCACAAGAACGACAAGGTTGCAATGAAGTAAACATCTGCAAGGAAAGAGCACAGAAGCAATGGAGATGGGCTGTAGACTGAAGTCAGAATTGCACTGCATGGGGAGGATCAAAGGTCAAAGTGAAAGCTTCAGGGGGAAAAAAATGCAGCCCAGTAAAGCTTCGGAACAGCCTCCTCCTCTCACACACACAAAACAGCATTTTTGCTCCCTATCTTTTTTTTTTTTTTTTTTTTTTAAACCAATGCAATTTCTGTTCCCCAACCACCTCTTGCTCTCTTCCTTTCTCATTCATGAAGGATATAGCTTTCTCCCTAACACACTGCTCATCTCATTTCAATAAGGCGTTTTGTCTAGACAGACAATTATGGACATAAACCCGATATGAAATATTGAAATCCTTCACCCCCGTGGCAAAATGAACTACATTAGCTTTCTTTAAAGGGTCTCTAGATGGATTTTAGCTCTGGGAGTTTTTTTTCTTTAACTCGCTAGTAGTGCTGAATATGAATTATCTCCGTTCATTCAGATACCATGTAGCACCTCTTTTTACATTGTATAATCACAGAAGCACTATGGATATATTTGAAGTGCATTCAAAGATGAGCCACAATACTCTTGTGTAAGAGATAGCCTTATTGCACATGGAGGCTTTGAACCGAGGAAATGAGAGGGCTGTTTTATTCTGCAGCAGGATATCATCCTAGGAGTTTGCAAGGCTTTCTGGGGGAAGTAGTGACATCTTGTGGTCCCTGATAGTACACTGAAACACGTTGCAGGGATCTGATATTTAACAGCCTGACTGCCCAGGGAAATGTGGAATTCATTATCTGTTTTCTTCTAGCATGTGAGATGCGTCTTCCATTTAGACAAATGAAAATATAAAACAAAAGTCCAGATGAAATAAAGAAATTGAGCCAAGTTTTAGTGAGTCCACTACTACATCCAGCTAATGGACATGGTCTTTCACTCCAGCAACAGAGGGTGATGCTTTTACATTCAGAGGTCTCAGGTTCAAGCCCCATAGATGACCCAATCAAGTGGTGCCTTGTGTGGGGATCTGAACTGCTGCGAAACCCTGAAGGCCAGGATGAGACTCCTGGGCCAATGTGTAACATATTGGCCAAGTGTGTCTTTGTCCCTCTCTAGTGGCTGGACTGTGTAATGGGATCTGAGAGTCTGCTACTGCCTTCAAGCTAATAGATCTGGTCCCTGGGATAACTTACAGTAGGTTAGTTCATCGGCAGTTGTGAGCCCAATTTATGCCCTTACCCTCTTGTTAAGCATGTAAACATTTGAGTGGAAAGACCTGAAGAAATAGAAGATATTTAACCTTACCAATAAACTCATGTAAGAAGACCAGAGAGGCTATGTAGCAGGAGAGGCTGAGCAACTCTGCCACTATCATGAGCCAGTGCCATGTCTGGATTGTTAATGCCACCATCAGTAACTCAGTAAGAATCAGGGATGTGAAGGAAATGGCCACAATGTGGACAAATTCAGACTCAAACAGCAGAAGAGCTCCATACATGATGATACTACCTGTGAGGAAAAAAGAAGGAGAGAGGCTGGATATCTTACTGCTAAACATCAATCTAAGTTCTAAACATCAGTCTCAGTCCTGAAAGTGCAGAAACATAAGGTCACCTCTTAAGACAGTTTGCAATGGCTTTTGATAATGCATGTTGGACAGTAAATCAGTTATTTATGACATGGCATTAAGAAGATAAAAGAACTTCTGTGCAATGAGTAAGAGACACTACACAGGTGGTCAATGTTTCATAGGGGCATGTCAGATTTACAGATGTGGAAATATGAAGTATATGATTTTAGCTACGGTCATAGATCACTTGAAGATTAGGGCGATCTATTTGTCCTTCCAGAAAAAGAAGCACAGTCACTACTCAAAAGAGAAGACAAATATCAAACACTTGTAACTTCTCCTGTGCTGCCCTGAAGCCCAGATGGAAGCACAAGGTGTAGGGATGCTGAGTGCATATATAATTAGGTTTTCTGTGCCCTCCTTGGGCCAAGTCCTCCACCCTAAACAAGCACAAATTAAAGTGGCATTAAGGAAGCATTATTTTGGGCCCCTATTCTGGCTGGGCTGGAAAGCTCACACAACTCCCTGCCCAGCCACCTGCACAAATAATTCATGTCAGCAGCATGAGTAATTGGCACCAACATCTATCACATGCTAGTTTCTGAGGAGAAACCCTATAAGGGACTAGAGCCTGAGCCACAAAGTTCAGATCCAGCTCTGAACTCTCCAGCGTTTGGGCTGGTTCCGTTTGGGTCAGGCCCACCACTGCTAGCAACTAGTCTAATTGTTTAGCCTGCTGCTTTCTAGTCATTTAGCACAGTAGATATGAAGTCACTTTAACCAAATACTGCAACAGGATAGTGGCTTCATCTGAGAAAGAACTTTTCCCCAATGCATCATCCTCTGGCTTTGACTTTCCACCACTTGTGAACTTTCTATAAATGTCTTGGCTTTGCCATAGTATTTATATAGCAACTGGAGACCATTAGTCCTGCCATAGCATTCTACTGCATTAGACTCATCCCCTGAAATCTAACAGAGATTTTCTATTGCTGGCCCCGCTCCCCATTTAAGGATGGCAATGTCATTTAAAACTGCTGATTTGGGCACATTTCTTTCCGCTTCTGTCGATAAAGGAGTTTGGGAAAATATCATTTTGTCACAGGATCGTATGGCCATTTTAACTAGGCAACCTCAACACTAGATGTACATGTGGTGCATGCTTCCTTAGCTAATAGCAACAGAAATCACTTGTGCTTGAGGTTCTCTCTTTCTTTTTTAAACCAACAGGCTGACTTTCTAGGAGCTAAACCAAGGGGTGCATCCACACTTGAAACAAATACAGGGTAACCAAAGTAGTTTTGTGAATAGCTTCTAGCAACTTGAAGATAAAAGCCCAGATAAAGTGCAAGTTATTTGATCTCAAGAACTAGAAGTTTCTTCAGGTCCTTCACTACCAGAAAGGGTCATTTCCTTGGCTGGGAATAAGCCAATCATCTCAGCTAGGTAGTCACCAGAACTGGGACTATTATGACTAATAGATAATAATGTGTTTATATAGTGGTTTCCCTTCATAGATTTAAAAACAAAGGCAAGTGTCATTAACTTCATTTTACAGGTGGGATACCTGAAGTGGGGTAAGGTGAAGAGACTTGCCCAATGTCAAAAAGCAGATCAATGGCCACAGTGGGAACAGACCCCAAATCTCCTGACTCACCTGCTGTCTCCTATCATGACCCAGTACTTTAAAATGTTGGTAAGCCACTTGCTACAAATGTTTAGTTTTAAGTGATTTTTTTTTATTTTTTTTGCATTACTAAGATGGTTGCGGTCATTGTTCTGATGCAAGGAATGGCTATTTTCACCCTATCCTAAAGGGTCGTTATTCCAGCAATACTCTACTTTTGATAATACAGCAGGACGGCTATATAATTCCTGACAGGTACGGGAACACTAGGAGAAAAAAAAGGTGCAGTTTCTTACCTTGATAGATACTTATCAAAACCCATATTAAAAATGTTTTATATGACAACGGTCGCCCCTATAAAGAAAAAGAAAGACAGCAAATATGACTTTTGAAAACTAATTTATAGATTATCAAGCAACTCTGACATAAATCTAAAATAGGTGGTTTAGAGGTGACCTGCAAAGGGAAGAAAATTGATGTCTTTTTTGTGCTTCTTCATGGTGCATAATAGGCATTTGACTATACTGTCACAATTATTTTGGTATAAACAGTGCTTCGTATCAGTATAGCTATTCCTGTACGGGAATGGGAATAAACTATGTTTTGGTATAGGGTTACCAGTATAACTGCATCCACACTAGGGGAATTCTGGGTATAAGTAAAAATGTAAAAAAAAATAAAAATCACTCTTCTAACTGACAAAGCAGTACAAAACACTGTGTGTAGACCAGGCCTAAGGATGGTTGGAGAATTAGTGGTTTATGACCTCAGAGACCACATCAGAGTGAAACCAGATGGAGATGGGAGGTGACTTATTCAGACTGTTGGAAAACACTCACTTTGCTTCTGTTGGACTCTGTTTAATGGAAATTCTTGGGGGAAAGGATGTCTTTGTTGAAGAATCAGCTCACCCTTCCCTTCAATTAAGGATGTTCCTAGTCCACATACCCAAATCATTCAAAGAGTTCTCCAGAAAAATAAAAGAGTGGCAAGACTTGGCATTCCTCACATTTTTAAGGTAAAAATCAAATCAAGTGGACTTCTCTCTCTTTTTTTTTTTTTTTTTTTAAACAAAGAAAACTCTTTCAGGCCTCCCGTACATATCATAAAGCAGCAAAAACAGCACAAAATCAATCTTTTGTTCTCTTTTTAGGTCACCTGTAAGGCAAATCTCCATGCAAGAAACCATCTGAACTACTGTTTTTGAATAGATCTTAAGCAGTAGAGCTCGTCCAGAATTTTCCGATAGAACAGATTTCAATTGGAAAATACTGATTTGACAAAATCAACCCATTTAATGGGAACACATCAATTTCAACAACATTTTCAACAGAATGGGGGAGAGGGATAGCTCAGTGGTTTGAGCATTGGCCTGCTAAACCCAGGGTTCTGAGTTCAATTCTTGAGGGAGCCATTTAGGGATCTGGGGCAAAAATCTATCTGGGGATTGGTCCTGCTTTGAGCAGGGGGTTAGACTAGATGACCTCCTGAGGTCCCTTCCAACCCTGATATTCTATGAAAGGAGGGGATGGTGGGTTTTCCTCCTAAAGTTCCTGTCATTCTGTACCCACAGCACGATGCTGGGTCCCTGTCACTTTCCCCCCTTCCCACAGCTTCAGCCTGGTGGTGGGTCAGTGCCTGCTCCATCCCATCTTCATGTCATCAGGGACCAACACCAGTGGAAGTGAGAAGCCACGATGAGAGCTGGGGGGACACAGAGACTGAGGACAAGTGGTGGAGGTGTCATGTTCCAAAATCAGAATATTCCTTTTTTGTGGGAAATTCTGAGGTCTGATATTTCATTCCGATTTGAAAGGAAACAAAATTTCAAACATTCAGAATTTCCCACAGGATGGAAATTCTATTTTCTGGCCTGTTCTAATAAGCAGCTAACTGTTAACAAACACAACGAGCTGTGAGAAAATAAAAATAAGTTAAAATTGTAAATAGAATTTTGCCTCTTGACAACTGTACTTTTAGAGTCATACGATAAAGTACCATGTCTATGGATATTGTGTTTGGTTTGTCTCTCTGAAAGCCAGTTCCAAATCAAGCCAAAGATTATATATGGAGCAGATGGAAGAGAAACAGAATAAGATCTACTGGACCTTAAGAAGATCTTTGTAGAGCTCTGGATACAACATAGCAACCTCAGATTTGACATCCTTGTCTAAGACCAGAGAGAAGACTGGAAACATTGTATAGATTGTGGAATACCTGAGCAGAACAAGATAGGAGACATCAATAGAGCACACATTGTTTAAGCCATAAAAATGAATACACAAGTCTTCAAAAAGGAAATACGTGCTGCTCCCTGCATCTCAATAATAGTCACATAATAAACTCACAAATGGAACACAATACTGTATGTACAGAAAAATTATTGCAATATTTACTACTTTAAATTTATGAATAGAACCATTCCTAAACGGAAGCTGCAGGTATTGTAACCGATGTTACACATTTTCCTTTTAGAGATGGAACTATTTCAGTGCTGGATTTGACTATGTAATTCAGTTCAGAGGGTTGGGCTGTTTTTTTTTAAACACGTATCTGACAGCATGAGCAAATGAATATTATGCAAGCACAATGACATGGGCATAGCAACTTAGGTAGTACGGGTGAGATTTGGGGCTGTGCCTCTCAAAGCCCAGAGGGAGGAGGAGAATTAAGGTGATTTTAAGCCACCTTTATGCTCAGAGGGGGATAAAAGGGTCCCCCAGCAGGCTATGTCTGTGACAGAGCCTGTGCCTAGCTTCCTATAGGTAGTACTGCGGCCCAGAATCTCCACAGCACTACGTGCTGCAGCCTCACCCTTGCCACACCCCTGTGTCACAGCTCACAAAGACATCACTAGAAGACAGCCTGCTCCTCAGTTCCTGAACCAGGGGAATTCTTCCTTGGCCAGCTCCAGGGCTTTTAGAGCCCCTTTACACTACCCGGACTTTTACCATAGCATACAGGGGCTGGAACAGGGATGAGATTCTCTCTCCAATTTCTGAAGTGGCATTTGCAGTAGGCATCAATACAGAGCATTACTGAGTACTTACCAGTACACGTACTAAGGAGACTTGCATACCTCTGATAAACTTTCACATGTATCACTTTTCAGACAGGAATCTATTCACTTTGCACAGGGTTTTCACATTTTTTTCTGAACAGTTTTGCTCTTACCCAATAATGAGGAAACCCTGGTAGAGAGGAACTGATGCAAAGTAAAACACCGATGAGAAGACAGCCTAGCAAAGAAAAGAAAAGGACTGTCAGGCTTCAAAAGCTGCAGTGTAAGTTATATTTGATAAATCCTACTTTATCCAAACTGAAAAGTATTTGCAGTAGACTCAAAATTCTTGAGACGAAGACAGGAGACTGTAATATCCGTTCCCTTGACTCCTGCACAAAACTGGGATAAAGGAGAATGTTTAACAGCAAACTGTGGAGAACTGAACCCCTTTGGTAAACTTCTCTTTACATAATCCCACAAAAAGAGAGGTTGGAGTGTTTCATCAAAAGCCTGCTGTTTTCATCCAGATGTCCGAAAGGACGGGTGTTTAGATATGTGTAGCTAACCCTCTGGAGGGTTAGCTACACAATGTAAAATGTATTAGCACTTAGTGATGGAGACAAAGGATAGAGGCAAACTCCAGCATGGACTTTTGATCTCAGAATGGAGATGGTACCTGCATTCTCAAAAACAGGAATGATCCCGTATTTTACTGAAAAACGTTTGTTTAAAAGAGATATGTTTGTCAGCAATATTATGGCTTGAAAGAAAAACTTCCAAACAGTAACTGCTGTCACCAAATATGTCCAAGCATCCAAGCACTCATAGTTGAAGACAGAATCCTGCTCATGAACTCATACATTTCTTTAAATTCTCTCAGTCTAACACAACCTATTGTTTTTAATCAATTGACAAATACCCATCAACCTTGCTTGCTCAATACTGAAGTTGTGCAAACATAATGAAAAATACCTGAAATTCTGTGAACAGAAAACATATTTTGTCATTGAGGACCCAGTTCTTTTTCCCACTGAAGTCAATGGAAGTCAAGCCCTTTCGGCTCAATCTAGCAAGATGCTGAGCACTTAATGTGGGTAATACATGCCTCAACTTCTAATGAGGTCAGCACCTCCCTAAAGTGCTCAGCACCCTACAGGACTGAACTTTTAGTAGGCCCTGATTCAGCAAGGTACCTAACTTTAGGCACATGAGATGTTCCATCAAGTTCAGTGGGGCTCCTCAGTGCTTAAAGTTATACACTCTTAAGTAACTTGCTGAAGAGAGGCTTTAGGAGCCATTTCATACAGAAGAAATACAATATTTTATAATATTTCCATGGAATGGCTGTTGTCACATTCACATATATGTGAAATCTCAAAGCTCAAATGTTTTTGATGCAAACTGTTTTGTGCCCAAAAGAAAATTTAAAATAATATTTTTTGGGGGAAAATTGCTGACTGTTCAAAAATGGAAACATCTTTACATGGAGGCGAGCCTCTTCTCATGCAAAAAAGTTACCTTCTTTTCAAGATCAAACCCACTAAAGTTCCAAAGAAAGCCAGGGGCTGTGCCAAATGTGAAATGAAAAGCTTGAATTTTGAACTTTTCACATTCCTCCCCCCCAGTCTCACTCACACTCACAAACACACACACACTAAAAGCCAAGATGGAACAGTCCATTCACTCCATTTACCTGCATCGTGCTGATACACAAGCTTCTGTGGATCACAAACTGGCTGAGAGCTGCAGATCTTTTGTAGCTGTTCCTTCCATGCACCATCAGTAACCGGCCCAGATGTTTAAACTGAGTGATAGAGAAATCTGCTGCAAGGGATGCTTGTTTTCCTTCCTATGTAGGTCAATAAATCAAAGACCATGAGGTCACAAGATTACATAAGATTAAGAAACACCATTCATGTTAATACATGCCTAAACAGTATTGACAGTAAAAATACCAACTCTGCCCCCCCTCATATATATATATATATTTTAACAGCACTGGATGAGGAAAAACCATTATCTTAGCATCTCTATTTCCTCCCTCAGCCCCCAGCTGCCTCCCCCATTCCCTCTACCTCCTGCCCCCAACATTCAAGCATGAAAAGAAATGAAAAATGAAAAGACCATTCAAGGACAATACCTATTTGGTTTCATGGTTCAAACCCAGAAGGAAGGTGTGTGAATTAGGGTTCACAGCATGCATGTTAGCGTGGCACTAACATCACATACATTACCAGATGCTATATTGGGAACATACCCACTGTCAGTACCACAAGTACTCGAATGAAAATGTCTGGATGAGAAGTGTACTGCAGTGGCTATGAGAGATAATAGGATACCGCCGTTTACTGGGCCAGCAAATGAGTTATAACACAACCTTTTAGGCTCACAAGGTTGCTTTCAAACAGCTTTGATTTTATTTTTTGGCCCATTTCATGCACAGCCTTTATGCTGTTTGCAAATGCATTCCTCTCCTTCCAAGATACGTAGGAGTTCTGTACAATAAGTGGTGGGACTCCTGATCCAATGTCACCATTTTCCATATTAATACAAAACAGTTCTAATGAATATATTATAGGATCAGCTACAACTCAGGTGTTTTGAGCATCTATGCATAGCGATGAAGCAAGAATGAAGTAGCCTGGTCTGACTACGTAGAATCCTCTAGTATGGAGTAGGCAACCTATGGCACGCATGCCAAAGGCGGCATGCCAAAGGCGGCACGCAAGCTGATTTTCAGTGGCACTCACACTGCCTGGGTCCTGGCCACCGGTCCGGGGGGCTCTGCATTTTAAGTTAATTTTAAATGAAGCTTCTTTAAGGTTTTTAAAATGTTTTTTACTTTACATACAACAATAGTTTAGTTATATATCATAGACTTATAGAAAGAGACCTTCTAAAAATGTCTGGCACGTGAAAACCTTAAATTAGAGTGAATAAATGAAGACTCGGCACACCACTTCTGAAAGGTTGCCAACCCCTGCTCTAGTAAATATCAGCATGAGTTTTGCTAAATGATTGCCCAGTTTACCAAACTATTTTTCATCCTAGCCTGAAAAGGGCCAGTGTTTTTGGCCCGATATCTTTTCTTCTCAAGGCAACTGCTCTTTCTATGACATGAATCAATAAGGATTCAATAAAAGGGGCACTTGGAAACCAGCCTCTGCATTTATATGACAAGTTGTATCAAATATGACGTGTGCTTCATAATCTCACCTTTCCTTCAACCCCAACACCGCAGTCAGCCTCCTGAATCATGCTGACATCATTCCCTCCATCACCTGCACGTTAGAGCACAGAGAAAGGGCAGGGAATACAGTAAGAGAGTCACTTATTATAGCTACTGAATGTAGCTGAATTAATAAATTCATAAACTTTAAAGTCAGAAAGGACGTTAGCCCATGGGGAATTAGAATAAAATCATTAGGGCTGACATGTTCAAAGCAAGCTAGGAGGAGTGGATGCCCTAAATTTTAAATAGGAATTGGGTGTTCAAATGTCTTGCACAATTTTTCATCAATTCGTAGGATCTTAAGGCCAGAATGGACCACTAGATCATTTAATCTGACCTCCTGTATAACATAGGCCATGAAATTTCATCCAGAATATTGAAGAAAAGTTAGCAGCTTGGCTCAGAATTAGAGCTTCAGAATGAGTGTTGTTGCAGCCGTGTTCGTCCCAGGATATGAGAGAGAGAGAGAAAGGTCACTGAAGTAATATCTTTTATTGGTCCAGAAAAAGATATTACCTCACACACCTTGTCTCTCTAGCTTCACAATGAACAATTTTTCCAGATGAAATGTGAACTCTTCTTTTTGCAAAACCCAATCTCAATATTTGTGAAGTTTTTCTGCCCTCCCCCCCACCAAATGAATATGCCCAGTTTCAGTTTATAGGTTATTCCACAAAACACTTTCATTTTATTTGTTATTTCTTGTTACCACTGATGTCACGAGGTGTCACAAAATATTTCCACTTCCACCATGAATGAAAGAAGACTGCTTAGTTTGAAAACGGAAGAGTTGCCATACCAGGTCACACTAGTCTTGCATAATAATAAAGGAAATTTCTTCCTAACTTCAGCAGTTAGTGGCTGGTTTATGCCCTAAAGCATATGGGTTTATATTCTCTATATGACTGTACTTCAGCATAGCATTTTAAGTATATGCTTAGTTTTAAGCACATGAGCAGACCAACTGACTTCATAATACTTATGTACTTAAAGTGCTTGGTTTAATGGGAGGGCCTAATTTTTTTTAATTCATATCTAATGTAACTGGACTGTCTCATCCATATTAACCTCTGATCCTTTCCTGAATCCTGTTTAGTTCTTGGCCCCAATAATATATTGTGTTAATGAGCTCTACAAGTTAAATTATGCATTGTGTAAACAAATTATTTCAGATTTGGATAATATTTATATTTCTGAACATTTGCACATACAGACTTACATTTGCACGAATGTTCACAAACAAAATGGATAATGGGTTTGTGAATACAGTGATTTAAAATTTGTTATTTATTTTGCTGAATAGGTCACAAAAAACTTTCACTATTTGCTTTGTTCTGTTTATAAGACCAGCACTCTATGTAGTGCCTAAGAGAAATCCCAAAGAGTAACAATTTTGTATTATCTTAAAAGCAAAAAAACAAAAAAATCCTACTTTAACTCATTTGAATATCTGCGTATCTGTTCCACTCATTATTTTTCAGCCATGTTTCTTAAGTGAAAAATTTTATATGTTTGACCTTAATGTCTAGTACATATAAAAAAAGCAGAATTAAATAACAATAAAAATAATCTTTCAGGCTTCTTTATGCAATAAAGAGCAAGAGGACAAAGGCCCTTGTTTTTTCTTTGCTGAGCACTTAAATCAGGAAAAGAAAATAGTGTACTGTATATTCCGAAAAAAATTAATACTAAAAATGATCCATTAACTTTTAACTAAAGGAAAGAAGACTTGTATGTTTTTCCCTCCTGTTTGAGAAGAGTTGAATCCGTTTCTCTTCAACGTGTCAAAAATTAATTAAAAGAAAAGTGAATATAAAAATGAGACTGAGATGGATAGCTGATGCGTTCCTTACCTACAGCGCAGGTCAGTTTGCCAGTTCTTTCCTGGAGCAAGCGCACAATCTGGGCCTTCTGTGTGGGGGCACATCGGCAGCATATCACGGCAGGACACTGGCAAGCTAACTCCATAAACTCGTACTCATAATATTTCAGACACACCTGTTTTACAGGAGAGGGAAGTTTAAAAGATGATTATATTGCATATATTTCCCTAAACCAAATCACACACATAATACCCTTGGGACTCCTATACAGCTGTCATAAGAATTCGAAGTTTACCTCTAGCGAGTCACCAGAAATCACAAGCGCACAGTCATGTTTCCGACGGAACGCATTCAGCTCCAAATGAGCTTCTCCACGGTTAGTCACCTGGAAATGAGCACAGCAGCTGAGAGAGTATGTGATTGGCGAGAACAAAATAAATTAATACAATCCTGATCACATACTCCCGGACATTGGCAAATCAATCAGGTTATCAGACATACTTCTGACTAAAAACAGAACCAAAAACAGGGTGAAATTAAGGTCCACATTCAGGGCCAGCTTTAGCAAGTGCGGGGCCCCATTCGTACTCACCCGGCGGCGCTCCGGGTCTTCAGCGGCACTTCAGCAGTGGGTCCTTCACTCGCTCCGGGTCTTCGGTGGCACTCAAGGACCCGCCGCCGAAATGCCGCTGAAGACCCGGAGCACTGCCGGGTGAGTAAAAATTAAAAAGGCGCCAGTGCAGGGCCCTCTTAGGTGCTGGCGTGGGGCCCGATTCGGGGGAATCGGGCGAATCGGCCTAAAGCCGGCCATGTCCACATTTTCAAGTTTCATTTGTGTGTGTGAATTGGGGTTTACATCCCCATCCCATTGCCCTCTTTGTGTGTGCAAACCTCAACTCTCATGCCCTTGTCAGGGAGTGGGGTTTGAATATGCACAAGAATTTTGAAGATTTGGGCCCAAAACTGCATTTGAAAGAACAGAAATTCACCAATCATCTTATGAAATATGCATCATATCATTTTTTGCTGAGCCTTTGGAAAACAAACCCTAGGTTTCTTATTAGTGTCTGCAGAAATTAGCAGCATAGTTACACAAGGGCCTTTGCTCACGGGGGCTGAAATAAATGGTCCAAGGTGTGTGCTGGTTTTAGGGTTACATGACTGCTGCAGTGGTCATGTGGTGAGGCAACAGTCTGGGGACTGACTAAGGGATGCCATTAACTCTGGGTATTTTTGGAACCATGAGGAGAAATTACATAGTTATTACACTGTCCTCCTGGAACCTCAAAAACTGTACATCTCGAGTATCATCAGTGACCTGCCCAACTTCACTATTATCTCTGCTCACGGGATTGAAGTTATCTATTGGCATAGTGCCCACTCAAGGCCCTCCATGATGCCAAACCACCATAGCAGTGTGGCAGAACAGCCTTGTGGGGAAGGGAGGAAGACATTTTACTCTTGTATGCTGCAGGGGTGGGCTCCATGCTAGCTCCAAACAGATCAGCACAGAGGGTCAACCCAGCACTACTGAAGTCAATGGGAGCTTTGCCACTGACTTCAGTAGGTGCAGGATCAGACTCAAGGGGAGAACTGGGGTAGGTCTGTATTCTGCTTACGGTAAATCACTGGCCAGGAACCACCCTTGTAGGGGGTGCAGATCAGTAGCCATTATTCCAGGCCACAGGCTGGAGGAAGCACCATGGAAGTAATGCACTATAGCTTGCTTGCAGATTGGGGTATTCTGTCCCTTCTGATCCCCAACTTAGTTTCTTGAACAAGTCCAGAGAAGGGTGAATTTCACCCACAAGGAATAAGTGTACTTTACTCACCAATCTGAATATATGAATGTCCTGGGTTCTGGTTACCAAATGAGCATTCTTCGCTGTACAAGTAGCTGTTTCTAGCTTATCCCCTGTCAGCATCCACACCTGAAATTAAAAATATTTTTATATCCCCAAATTAACACAAAACCTAACAAACACTATGTTTGCAGGGAACTTCTAGGAGCTCTGGGCCTTTATGCATGCATGTAAATAGACCATATTTACAACAGAAAACATGTGGTGTTCAACAAATTCCTCTACAACAGAATCCCATTTAAAAAGGGCAGGGAATTCCCCTACTCACAGAGGAATTAAGGGGTTTGAAAAATGCTGCAGCATACAGTGGGTTATGAAATCTGCACATTTTCCCACCTGCCATTTCAAGACTTCACTGATAAAACACAAAACATAAATGGAAGAGGCAGACCCTTTGAATGTATCCCCATCCTCTGCAAGTTTTATTCAGAAATCTTTAGCCCCAGCTGCAAATAGCTCCTGCATGGCCTTGCCTGAAATATAGATGATGCAACTGCAGTTAGCTCACCACCCGCGTGTATGGAACAAACTAAACATAAGAATGGCCATACAGGGTCATTCCTATGGCCCATCTACCCCACTATCCTGTCTTCCAACAGCGGCCAGTGCCAGCTGCTTCAGAGGGAATGAACAAAATAGGGCAATTTATTCAGTGATTCGTCCTCTGCTGTCCAGTCCCAGCTTCTGGCAGGCAGAGGTTTAGGGACTCCCCCAGCATGAGGTTGTGTCCTTGACTCTCTTGGCTAATAGCCATTGATAGACCTATCCTCCATGAACTTATCCAGTTCTTTTTTGAACCCATCACAACAGCCACTGGCAATGGGTTTCATAGGCTGACCATGAGTTGTGTGAAGAAGTGCTTCCTTACATTTGTTTGAAACTTGCTGCCCATTAATTTCATTGTGTGACCCATGGTTCTTGCATAGTGTGAAGGAGTAAACAACATTTCCCTGTCTCTACACCATGACTTTATATGCCTCTATCATTCCCCCCCTTAGTTGTCTCTTTTCTAGGCTTAACAGAACCAGTCTTTTTAATCTCTCCTTGTATGGAAGCTGTTCCATTGCCCTAATTAAATGAAAATGAAGACGGCGTATATGAAAACAATTCAGTCATTAAACAAGGACACTAGAAAGCAGTGTGACCAGCAGTGCTGACCAATATTTGCTATAATCTGGAAGGGAATTTCTTCAACAGTATAAATATTTGGGGTTTTGGCTATTCTTTACCTGGTGCTTTTAATTCCCTCCAGGCCTTCCCCTGTTGGAGCAGATCAAATAAGGATCCACTTGTTTGTTTCATTCACTAAAAGGCGTTTAATAAGCTAAAAGCCAGGTAGGACACTTATTGTAATTAACAAGATAGTATAATAAAGAAATAAAGAAAACAGATAGCTCCAGAATGAATTACAAAACTCCCTTCAGTCTTGATTCTCTCCTGACATGCAGAATCCCAAAGAACATGAGCCGCAGAACATCTACTGTAAATTGCAACACTACGTATGCAGTCATTAACAGGGCTATCCATTCAGCATCAAGGCAGTGACTTTAGCCAAGTTAAAAACAAAAACAAACATTTTTGGACCAAACCGTCAAGATTTAACTAATAAAAATGAAAATATTGCTATGGAAACTACGTGAACTGTATTCTGTTTGTTTGACCTACTCACTGACGTGCAAAGTTACGTTAATATTAGAGATGGCATCAAAGCTAAAACTGTTTATTGAGACCCTCTTCACCACCCTCCCCCCAAAAATAAAAACACTTTGGGAGTTCAGGTAAACTGGGTACTGTATCTGAAACAGCCTGGTTTGATTCTACAATACAACGTGAGGTTTTGTCTATTTTCTGTTTGAAATAGGCAACCAGAATGGTAACCTTTTATTCAACTCTTCACCCCCAACTCTGAGTGCTAGTTCCAGACCACCCTTGATTTTGTAAACCTAGAACCTGACTGACAAGATTTTGGGGAAAGGCAGAGTCAAACCGTAATCATTCCTGGCTTTGACCATCTATGTATGGCTAATTCTGTAGGTGCAGAAGTTATGGAAGGCATAAAAAAGCCAGAAGGCATAAAGCCAGAAGGCATAAAAAAAATCCTCGTGCATTATTGTTTTTGGTTCAGACTCCCTCTGGTGGCTATATAGCACAGCATAAACATTCATATGCGTGCGCTTCAACCTCAGTGCTCAAAAACGTGCACATTATAATTTGGGTGCCAGAAGAGAAAGGAAATCAAGCCGTGCTAACTAACTTTGTGTTTCATGCAGCCACTTACAAGACTAGCTTGGCTGACTCTTTATACTTATCTTACATAGATACCATTCCGTCTGCATATTTGGTTTCTTCGTATATTAAAAAGTTTTGGGCGAGGGTGACACATTTTAAGGTGCTCAGCTAGTACTCAGCACTTACAGTGCTTTATATAGTCAAAGCGCTGTACAAAAATATTAGCTATTAGATGATAACATGATATAATCATTGAATCAGAGCACATGGGGTCATCATTTGCATGTCCTGTTGCACTTCCATTAACCAACAGAGCAGAGCAACATTAGATAATAAGGTCGTTTCTGGACTGAACAATATATATATATATAGAGAGAGAATAGAGTTTCTTTGTTGCTAGTGTCTTATTCTACAGCCAGTGGAAAAAGAATTTTACACCAACAAGATTTCACTTATCGCTGCTGCTCACCTATTGCAATAGTCACACTCAATGGAGATCAGAATTTTATGGGGGTTTATTATCAGACAGACTCATTCACTCCAAATGTTACATTCCAGAGACTCTCCCGCCAACTCTCTGGCCATTATCCTCAATTGCACTGTCAGACTGAGGTTCTGCATTCCATTTCTAGGTTAGCCAAACCTTAATGCCAGCATTTCTCAGGGTCTCCAGAGTGGGTCTGACATCCGTCTGCAGCTGATCCTCCACTCCAGTCAGACACAGCAGCTCCATCTCCATTTCCAGGCTCTCAATCACAGTGGCTACCTTCAGTGAGCGATCGTGCACACTTAGCTTCGCCTGAACATAGCGTGCCTGAGAATAGCACAAGACAAAACCCAGTCACTGTAATTCAAACTAAGAGTGTTTGTGTGTCTGTGGAATACAGGATTAAACAACACGACACAACTCAGGCCTCTCAAGGCCATAGGCTAAGTCCACCTCAAGGGTGTCCTCTGTAATGACTGGTTAACGTTAACCCTACAGTGCAAAGACAAATGAGACTAAACAAGTCTTTCCTAGGAGATCCTATAATTCTGTACACTTATTATGCAAATCTGCCAGTTAGATGCACAGTTACCTGATCTGTGCTCACAAATAATTCTTCTGTATACACAAAATTTGCAAGTGCTATTTCAGAGATGGATCTTGAAATTTGGCTCATCTAGACCAGATTGCGGTAAATAGACAAATCAATCTGCCAGAGTTCCATACACAAGCAACTGAAGCCCCCATTTCCAAAACACCTGAAAGTACACAGGATTCCTTTGACTCTCTCTTGTTTTGCAAATGTCAGGATACAAACTTGAAGATTCAAAATGTCAATGCAAGCTTTTTCAGTAACTTTAAACATGGCTAAGCAGCACTGAATGTTGGCAGAAGTAAAATGGTAACGACAGAAGTCTACGGGGCAGGATTCCTGGGCTGCAACTCCTGTGGAATCAATCTCTAGAATGGGAACTTGTGGAAATGGCAGAAGCAATGGCCTAGGGAGTAGCACTGCTTACACACGACTCAGTAGACACCTCCAGCTGATTAAAAGAGCAGCATGATGGTGATTATGACATAAAGAGTGGGGAGATGAAAGCAGGTGCTGTAATCAGAACTCTGTGGGCATCACTTACATGATTATAAAAATACAAACTTACTTCAAAGTCTTGATACTGCTCCTCAGTCAGGGACTTCTTCGCTACAACAAGAACCCTCAGGCCTTCCCTAGCCATGTTACCACACTGGAAAGAAGTGTCATATTGTAAACGATCACCTGCATCACAACTTAACTGATTCAGAGATTGTAACAGTAGATATGATGCTAACAAAATAATTGTTCCAGTCAAACAACCCAGCTGAATACATAGCATCAGATAAACAGCATGATAAATTAACCAGGGAAGAGGAGATCTCAAAATCTATTTGTAGGCTGTACCACTGATCAGGAACGATGCTCCTCTCACAGCAGTGTCAAACTGGCATAAGTAACTCCACTGGCTTCAGTTACTCCACTGATCTCAGTTCCTTTGAATATATACCAAAGTAAGAAGGGATGCAAGCCCATGGTTTCAATAAGCACTGTATCTTTTGTTCACAAACTATTTAAAGAGATACTACAATATTCCTATGTAGTCAAATAGAAAAGGAACCATTTATATCTGCTATTGTGAAGACTGTTCACCATTGCCAGCAATACGATGGAATGGGTTTAAGCAGGAGGTTCAGAAAGACTTAAAATCAAAATGCAATTCTTGGTTTTCCAGCAGTTTAAAATAAAGCCAAGTGCAGAATCAGGCTCAGTTACCCAAGATAAATCTTGTGAGAAAGAGGAACTACCAGACAAAGAACAAGAAACCTGGACCAGTGACTACCCTAAGCTTGGACAACGTCCATTTTGTTTACCAGAGTTGTCCTGGACTAAATGGGTTGAATTCGCCACCTGGCTTCCTTTTAAAATTGACTAATACTGTGTCTGTATCTCTTGCGACAAGTTAAACCAACCAAAATGCCAAACCAAACAATCTTTTTCCTGCATACATTTTAACAGCTACCTCAGCCTGCTCCACCAAAGTAATGTCGGAGGCTTAGTCATGTGTCACCATGGAACAAGCAGCACCTGCCTGAAGAAGTAAATATTCTACGTCTAAGAAAGTGAGACTACTTTGTACCTCTTCCTCTAGCCAGTCATTGTACTGCACGATGCCAGCCATGACAACGTCGGCTCCCTTCATGTAGAAAGTGATTTCTCCCGTTGACTCATCCTGAGAGAGAAAGAAAATGGTGAAAGATTATGGGTTCAATTATCTACAGCAGGCAGCAAGATACTTCATGCAAGGATCATCAACCTCTTGGTCAATAACAGGTGATACTGGCTGGGTTGTATTCACACTATTCTATATGGAAAATAGTCATCCCCTTCCTAACTCTAATCATTAATGGTCTAGAGTAACCATGACACTGGTGCATTTTGTTTTCATCCTGGAAATCAACTTTGATGTTTACACGTAACAGGGGGAAATTAAGTAACAAATAAATGATTTTACTCTATTAAATTCCAATCTTAACGGCTCCCTGTATTATAATTATGCTGTATATATAAGTACAATTAAAACTCAGGCCTGCCACAGAGGGATTAGGCTACTGCCTTCCTCACCTGATGTGACTAATTTGTAGATTGTAAACAATGCATATTTACACTGTTACAAATTCATAATCCTTTCTGAGCAGGCAAATGTCTAAGGAGGTCACAGTTATTAGTATGGTGGGCTAATGGAAACACTGGCAAACTCTGCAAAGGAGGTCAAACAATGTGCAAGGAGAACTTGCATCGTAAACCAAGATAGCATCTGCGGATGGAGGGGGGAAAAAATATGTACAGAACAAAAAGATGAAGCTTTGGAGAGAAACACCAGTGAATGAAGAAAACCAAAATACTTTCCAAAGAAGACAGGGAATAGGGAAAAAATGCAATGTACTCTCTCCAGTTTATATTAGATGATGCAAAATTACCTTGTCTTCTAACCACTACAGAAGCCAGTTAAATGGTGATATGGCTGACACTATATAAAAATAAAAAACCCTGCCTCAAGGATGCACTAGGAGACCCAGAGGAAATGGGGAACTAGGGGTTTAGTTTTGTTTTTTAATCTCTCCCCCGCCCCCCCATTTCTCATCTGACAATTCACTAGGGCAGAAAAGACATTTTACTGATGGGGGTTAGTGAGGATGGGCCTTGTGGAATAGGGACTGGACTGAGAAATGGGCGAGGGCCTGGCATGCTGGTGTTGGAGAGGGTGCTTTCCACACACAGGGGGCAGCATGGAAGAAAAATAATTAAAATGGGAGTGGAAGGAGGAAATAGATTCCTTTGCTGAGGAAACTTCACAGGAGCTGTGGACACTCAGTATATCTCTGATTATCAAGACATTTTTTTATTCAGGTCCCTACACTGGGAATAAGGTGCTTAGCTTTAGCTGCTTGCGTTTGAACGCTGTTGCTTAAGTATTTTTGAGACCTTTACCAGGAACATGTGGTGGTTCTTACAGGTGCATTACAAACTATTTCTGATCGATGGTGTTGACTGCCTGTGTGTCAATATGCACAGTTCGTACATCTCAGAGTTCAAGTTTTACAGGTCACCAAGAAAACCCAGAACACGCTTAGTTTTAAAAAAATTAAGCTTTCTGGCATTGGCAAAAGATTTATGTATTAAATTATTTGATTAAAGAAAAAGTGTTTAACGACATCTCTGTAGGAAACTGAATAAAGACTCCACTTCCTGTGCTATAGAATTGGCTTAAGATAGTTTATAAATTTTGTCCAATATAAATATTGTATCAACTATCTCCTTGCATTAGTCATTTCCTCTTGCAGAGTTCAACAGGAGGTTAGCACGTTCTCATATTATGGTAAGATCACACTATAAATCTACAGAGAGATTTGCCAGTTGTATTGTTTTAGAGCTACATCTTTTTCCATCGTGGTCTGATTCTGGCCATGGTTCAAAGGCCTCTTTCAGTTCCAGATATGACAATAGTGCTATCTTTGTTGCAAAACAAACATCATCATTCCACATGTGTGGAAAAAAAAAAAACGCAGAGTGGAAAATTTTGTGATCAACAAACAAATATCTTTTTAATGCAATCCTTTTCTTAACATGAAGATAAGCAAGTAAACAATGCTGTAAAGAGGGTAGCTGCTTTGTTATAACAAGACTTCTTAGAACTGGAATAATAAACCACCAGACAATGACAGTTGATCATGTGTAACAAGCAAATATTGCCAAACTGTCTTAAATGAGGCAACATCTGCTACTTGTGAACATACGTTGCCACCTTAGTCCTCATCTGCTAAAGAAGTTTAAAAGTTATCATAGTAATAATACAAAGAGACCCTTTACAAGAGACAGCAGGCAGGACCACAAGGGGAAGCAGGAATCTCTGAGAAGAAGTTCAACCACACATTTTTTTGGCTCTGAGTAAGAATCCTTGGATGAAATTCTATGGCCTGTATTATACAGGAGGTCAGACTAGATGGTCATACTGGTCCCTTCTGGTGCTAAAATCTGTGTGCGTCTATAAGGACAAGAGGAAATTAGCTGTATATCTTATTCAGATATTTTTCTGAAGTCTGACAGAAGTTTACAGCTTCAAGGAAGAGATTTTAGAATTGTTTTTCCAACTGTGAATTTATTTTATATACTTAGCTACTCAATAAGCTATTTCCCCCCCCCCCCACCCCTTCCCAACAGTTAAAACACTATTTTTAGAATTAATATTGATGAAATAACTGGTTCAATTGCACCCAATATATTTGGTGGCTTGTAGGTAAAAAATAATATTTGGTACGTGCACTGGTATAAATATATAAAATTTTACTTGACAACTAGTAATTGTTAAGCAAAAAATTTTTTTTCATAAACAGGAATGAAAATTTTGTTTGAAGACAGGAGTTCAGAGCATGCAGAAACACAGTATGTGGTGATACCCATCTAGTTAGCACCCGCTAATTAAAATCTGCTTCAGTTCAAAACAGAAGACAGAGCTCATTTGGTTGTTCAGCCACACAACATTGAAGGAACAGGGTTCACAAGCCCATCGGATAGGGGCCAAGGCTTCGACCCTGACACCACAACAGCATAATATACGTAGACACTCAAGATTTGAGGCCTGACGATGTTCCCAAATGCAGCGAACGAGAGTTTTGCCATGGTCTTCAGAGAGATCATACCTAATATGCACTGTATATTAGAAATATTTTTAATTAGAGAGGGAGAGTTGTGGCTTATAGTTACCTTAAAAACTAGGATGGAATTCAGAATCCTGGCCTGGGAGGTCCAATGCCACTCTAAGTGATAGATTGTCAGAGAGGAAGGAAAAAAAGGAAGCTCACTAAAGCTCTCCTTTTCAGTGAAGATAAAGAAAAAGTTCAGAATGTTTCAGGGACACCCATCTCTCTGCGGGGATGGAAAGTGAAAACCTTGATGAAATTCAAGTCGGTGACTTAACCACTTGCTGTTACTGCAATGGAACAAAACTAGTAAAAAATTGGGGAGAGGGAGGAGATTTTGTTGAAAATTTTCCACAAGTTTTGTCAAATTTCTTTGTTTCTATCTAGGTCTCATATAGACCATTTGGATGGTGCCAACCCACCTGTTTAGTCTATACTGTTTTCCACTACAGAAATAATCCAGCTGATGAAAAGGAACACAGCACTCGCTCTGTTTCTATGAGCATTTGGTGACTGCATTGTCCCAACTAGGTCTAATATCAGACACTTGTTGGAACAAAGTTATGAACTGTATCCTCGAGGATATCCAGTTGTTTTCTAGATTCCTGTATTTATCATGTACTTCTGATTACCTCACTTGCACTCTGACCACTAGTCCATTCCCCCTAGGACTTATTCTATTGTTCCAAAACATGGAGCAATTCCAAATACAGGGTTTTGTTTTTTTAAAGCTAGCCTGCCAATAAAATTCTCTTGTTTCCCCTCACTCCCACCCCCCAAAAGGTGCCAGGGCCCAGGCCCCAGAATGGAAAGCACTGAGTCCTGAACCAATGGCAGATTCAAGGTCTGAAATGCCACCTATGAGATGGGACGTGATATTAATATATTGATGGTGCTGTATAAATCTTTTATCAACACTGCCTAGCTCCTTACTCACAGCTTAGCTTATTGACACTGTCATATGTTCACATTATATCTTAATCTGTATGTCAACAAAAATTAGGGAATCAGATGCATGCTAAGCTTCTCCAATGAATTACTTAGCTTTTTGTTGTATACCATCCCCACCATCGTTCAACTTCACATTATCTGTTTAGACTGTAATTTCTTCTTGCCCCTGCATGTCTGCAAAAGCATCTCACTCTTGTGGTGCTATAAAAAACTATAAAGCATGAGACAATGGAATAAACTTAATTAATGTGACTGTATAGCAGAATCTCATATGGAAGATGCTAACCTAAAATACTCGCCTACAAAGTAAGATTTGTCTTACCATTCTAACCTGTAATAATACTAGAGAGGTACAAGGCCCTTCCTAGGCCATGTCTTTGCTGCTAAAAAGAGACACTTTTAATTACAGGATAACTAAGTTCACATGAACTATCTTAGGGTAAAAACACAGTGAAGACAATGCATGTTAGTTTTACCACAATGTAAACTAGATGAGGTCAGCACTATACTACCGCTTGGGGCATGGGTTTGGGGTTTGTTTTTTTTTAAACCTCCAGATAGCTCACATGCACCCAGCGGTAAAAAAACAAAAAACAAATACACCTAACATGCATGAGCTATCTGGAGGTAAAACAGAAGAGCATTGTCCTCAGTGTGTTTTTAACCTCAAGATAGTTCATGTGCGTTAGTAAAAAATATATCTTTTTAGCAGTGCAGACACCTCAGTCACTATTCATTTAAAGAGTGGGGAGGTCCACTAGGCTGAACATAGTCATGAGAGCCAAAATTATTTGAATTCTAGCCCCGGCTGTAAAACTACTCTCGCTGAAAGCTTGGGGAAGTCCCTTCAACTCTGCATCAGCTTTCTCATCTGTGAAATGGGGAGGGATAGTTTTCCTTTCAAGGCTATTGAGGATTAACTGTGGGGCCCATCTTGGTTGGTCTTCAGGCACTACCAAAACAAAAATAAATAAATAAATAATGCTGCACTTTGATAAGAGAGCTAAGAATGTTTTGAAAAGGTTTAAATATGGGTTCACCAGTTTGTGAGTAGGTAACAAGCATCAAGAAAAATATTACAGTTAACAGACTAAGAGGGGAAAGAAACAGAAAAAACCTTCATAATCACACTAACCCAGGAACCTATCCTTGCAACAAAGCCCGTTGCCAACTCTGTCCATGTATCTATTCAGGGGACACCATCATAGGACCTAATCACATCAGCCACACTATCAGAGGCTCGTTCACCTGCACATCTACCAATGTGATATATGCCATCATGTGCCAGCAATGCCCCTCTGCTATGTACATTGGCCAAACTGGACAGTCTCTACGCAAAAGAATAAATGGACACAAATCAGATGTCAAGAATTATAACACTCAAAAAACCAGTTGGAGAACACTTCAACCTCCCTGGTCACTCAATTACAGACCTAAAAGTCGCAATTATTCAACAACAAAAACTTTAAAAACAGACTCCAACGAGAAACTGCAGAACTGGAATTAATTTGCAAACTGGACACCATTAAATTAGGGTTGAATAAAGACTGGGAGTGGATGAGTCATTACACAAAGTAAAAACTATTTCCCCATGCTAATTTCCCCCCTACTGTTACTCACACCTTCTTGTCAACTGTTTGAAATGGGCCATCCTGATTATCACTACAAAAGGTTTTTTTCTCCTGCTGATAATAGCCCCCCTTAATCGATTAGTCTCATTAGAGTTGGTATGGGAACCCCCATTTTTTCATGTTCTCTGTGTGTATATATCTATCTATCTATCTATATCTTCCTACTGTATTTTCCATTACATGCATCTGATGAAGTGGGCTTTAGCCCACGAAAGCTCATGCTCAAATAAATGTTAGTCTCTAAGGTGCCACAAGTACTCCTTGTTCTTTTTGCATATTTTCCACTGTTTCTAACAGCTCCTTTTTAGTTGAATCAGGTTTTTGAAAATCTGGGTCTCCACTGTATTAGTGCATAGGACCAAAATAAAGAATTAGGTGTGCAAATGCATATGTAATTGCACATCTAATTAGCATATGCAGTTACTGTCATTGAAGACATAAGAGAATTGCATGCACAAGTGCACCTGGTTACCCTAATTCCTCTGGGAAACCCCATGCACCAAGTACTTCAAGGAAACCTCTGTTCCAGAAAAAATGCTTATCATAATAGCCAGCAGGGCACAGAACAAAGAAAGGAAATCACACAGTAATTTGTTAATTATTGCCCCATTTCTTGGTTTATTTTACAGTTTAATATACATTGTATAAACAATATAATCCCAGCATGATTATTTGACAGTTTACTTCTTAATGAGAAGCAAACTAGAAAGTACCTTCTTAAAGTATATATTTGACTTTCAGTAGCACCTCTACTATATTGTAGTTGATCTGTTATGAGTCATTAGAACTCCTGATTTAGCTGTAGTTGAGGGGTAAATCTGCATCTATTTACTGGTGATTCCTGAATTGGGGTTTATGCTTTTTTGCTGTTACTTTCAACAGTGGCTACCATTATTTTCCTACTGTCTATGGGCTAAGGACTGTCACAGGCCTTTGGAGTTTGTGTTGAAAGAAAATACACTTTACTTATCAGTTCTGGGGGATGGAAGGACAGTACTTCAACGTATAAAAATATTTCAGTTTCTGGTATCTGAGATAATGTAACACTCTCCCACGAAGAACAATGTTGCTGATATCAAACAGACTGTACTTGCTTATTCAGTCAGTGTTTTGCAAGAGTTACATGAAGATGAAAAGAAACATGAAAAGCAACTTACCCTAACGATGATTCCCATACGTTTACTTTCATAAGTAAATGGAAAGATCTGGAGGATGGTGAAGTTTAGTATCTGACCACCAGGTGTCCTCAGCTGCATGGAGGATTGATCTCTGCCAACCAGTGTTAAGCCTACACTTTCAGTCCACTGTACCAGGGCCACCTAAATACAAGAAAGGTCACAGGTCAGATAGACTGCTGAGCTTTGTGGTTCAGAGGTCATGTAAATGAACACCAGAGGGGAAGGGACAGTGGGTTAACTGAAGAAAAAGTTACTCAGTCATTAACGTCACTGTAAAATGGATCAGTTTTTCTACCTTGGCCATGTAATGTGAACAAATGGCCCTTTAGTGTTATTTCCTGCGGCCATTCCTGCCCATTGACAATATTAATTACTCAGTCCCTGGAAGGACTTACTAATGTCCAATAATACATGACATGTACTACACTCTGTTCTGAGCCAGCCAGATGATGTTTAAAAAAAAAAAAAAAAAAAAAAGTTGGCGGTGGAAACACACAGTACATGACTGCCCCCATTCAAATGTGGGTTTAAGACAAGCAGAGGATATTAAAGCAATGAAGGTCTAAGTTGTCAATATGCCACTAACCCAAAGTGATGAAACAGGACGTGATCCTGCACCACTGGGGTTAGTGGGAGCAGAATTGAGCCCATAATGAAAGCCACTGAAAACTGGAAAGTAAAAGGAAGTCAATGAAACAGATCCAGTCAGTGCGTTTATGTGGCTTTATTGTGCACTGGGCATTCGGCTACAACGTCAAGGGACGTGACTACTGTTGTAAACAAACCTGAGCAGAGGAGAGTTCTAAAGATCCAAGGACAAAGGAGAGTTTCAGTCTCTTGCAGCGTGACATTCTCTTGAGACAACTGCACCGAGTCAGCACAGCTAGTAATAGGTTATTTAAATCTGATCAGGATAAGTTTCAAATGGAAACACTGCACACACTAGGAACTGCCCTTCCCTCCCCATCCCCAGTGAAAACACCTCCAGCTCCCCCAGACAAATGTTGGGCTAAATCTGTATCCAACTCTAAAACTCAGTCCCACCTCTGACTAAAGTTGCCAACCCTCCAGGATGGGCCTGGAGTCCCCCGGAATCGGCATTGATCTCCTGGTGACTACTGAAAGCAATCCGGGAGATTTTAATAGGATATTTTAACAAAATTACATTACGTCATGTTGGGGGTGGGGGGAGGGGGGAAATCTCCCGGAATAGCTTCAGTCAGAGTTGGCAACCCTACCTCTGATGCAAATATCAGGCCAAGTTCTCTGCTTGTGTAACTCCGTTTACTACAAGGTAGTTACATCAGCAGAGAATCTGACTAATTCATTTTAATGCTTGCAATCTGGGCACTTATATTCACTGCACATCCCAGGTTTTTTCAGCAAGGAAAGATTTAGACTCAACAGTGTATATAAATCTCTGAGAAGAAAGCTTGCTGTATCCAGTCACTCTACACTGGCTCCTAAGTAAATAAAAACAAAACCCAAGTGTCAGTGGATTCTCATCTATTTTTATAGACATCCATTAAGAGTGACATGTCTAAAGAAATGCACATAAAAAGCCTTTACCTGTCTTGTCTTATAGCCATTATCTTGTTGAGAAGCTGAGTGGAATTAAGATCAGTTTTGTGGAGACTTATTTACTAATAATCTTTTCCCTTCATTAGAGAAATCACTTCTATAACCATAATTATTCCTGACATTTCATCTCTTTCGTCACAAGTCTATTTAGTGAATGCAAGCGCTAGGACAAAGTATTCCGTTCACTACAAAAGGAGTTATGTCTTCCAAGGAAGTTCATGAAAAAATACCTACCACACATCAAATACTTAAGCCATGGAGCTAGCCTCTCAACTGGAAGTAACTTATTTAACCCGCACTGGAAGCTGTGGGCACACATTAAGAGGAAGAGACAGCACCCTCATTTAAACCTAGTGTTCCTAACATGCTACAGCACATAGGGCCTCATCCAAAGATTCAACTGACTTCAATAGGCCATTAGGACCTCAATCTAATAAGGTATTTCAAGCCCAGAACTATTGGTGTGACTCTCCGTGGCAGGTTCTCCCTCAATCTAAAGCTTTTTGACTATTTTTAGGATTTAGACAGCCTGGCTCTAGGTCTCTCATACAGACTCCATGTTGCTAAAAGCCTCTTTAGAATCTGTGTAGTAGCTTACTCATCTTCCTCATGTGATTACAATGTACTGAAGAAAGAAAACAACAACAACAACAAAAACAACTTACTGCAAAGTGGGTGACTAAACCTTCATTTACCCTAAAACCCAGGCCTGCAGACTTGAGGGAAATAACATGCTTAAAATACTGCTTCTTGTGTTCGACATTTCATATACTACTGTTTACGGGATTCAAATTAAAGGAACTGCTCCCCCTCAGGACTGCAATAATTGAAACCTTGGAGGGCTAATTCAGAGTTTATCCATACAGAATATTTGCATTAAGACACCTTCCAGTTTTTGCTCTATCTCACTTCTTTACTCTGTGTCACCATCATTTTCTATTTTTCAGACAAAAAGCATAGTCCAACTAAATGCACAAAACCCAATACTGGTTCAGATTTAAATCACTAACACTGCAGCTGAAATGAGAGCTTATTAAAAGGGTCACCTTAATTCCTGCTGGGCAGTACCCTGCATAGATATTTCAGTAGGGACTGCTCACAGACTACGGTTCTACACACAGCATGAGGATGTATGGCAGAATTAGGCCATACATCATTAGTTAGATTGCTTTTTTTTACTGAACAGAATTCTTTCAATGGATTTGGAACCACAATGTGGTATTTGGAGAGGAAAATTATTTAACTGTTAAAAAAAAATCTCAGCATTTATTTAATCTTTGAAAATGTTCAACCTAGTATGAATGCCCATTTCTTCTGGGCATTTCCAGGAGCCATTATAAAACTCCTTTGAAATCCAATTCTGCAACAGCTAGAAAGAGATCTGATCTCTCCTACTTTCACACCTGTAAGCTTCCAATACAAACATTTCTAACAATTAAAGCACCTCGAGAACAGAATTTCCCTTAGAATTCTCCATTCATATATTGAGTGAGGCTAGGATAAGCCAGAGCACCTCCATCAGAACACCTAGGAATTCATTTATCTTCTAGAAACACAAACCAACATCAATTAATGGGAGAATCGACCCTTAGAACATGGTAGTTTCAGTTCCCCTGTTCCTTCAAACTATTTGTAAAAAAAAAAAGAAAGAAAGAAAAATGCTGCTCAGAAGATAGCAAGAAAATTCACATGAAAAACAACCAACCAACATGGCTCTTGTATTAGTTTCTGATAAGTTGGTGCTAGCGTGGTTCAACATCAGCAACCGCCAAATTATATTGTCCTCAGAATATCTAGACTAATCAGCATCCTAATACCCAGCTGGCTGGAGGCTTAAACGCATTTTTTCTTATGGGAGAAAAGGCCAGTAGAACACACCTTTATAGATGGCTTTTTTTAACGTAATCTCTTGTTTTAGGGTACTTGAATATACAGAAGGCCAGTTTTTATTGCATTATTATGGAAGTCAAGACAGAGAAGACAACATGCTTTATTTTGCTTTCCTGCTAGTTCCCTACAGAATTCTCTGCCCCTCCTACTAATCCCCCAGCTTTTTAATTAATGAAACTAATCCTGCTAGGTTTGCTTCTACTAAATTATATGGTTTTCTTTTGGGGGGAAAAGGGAAGCAGGAGAGTCTCCCAAGACTAAGAACTGGTTTGCCCGAAAACTTCTGTACAACAATGATGAAAATATTTTTATGGGGAGATTTTCAAAAGATAGGCACCCAATTGCCATTGAATGGAAACTGAGGCCCAGATTCTCGAAAGGAATTTAGGTGCCTAACTCTTAGTGAAGTCAATGGGAGTTAGGTGCCTACATACTTCTGAAGATCTGGGCCTGGGTTTCATGCTTCTCTGTTCCCCATCTAGTCTTGAAAACATCCTTAAAGCATTAAGGAAGCTAGTTAGAAGCTCTTCTATTGTCCTCATTCTTAACAGTTCTCTGGATCAGAACTTGATCTCAGGCTTCTATTGCTCTGGTTAATACAGAAATATATAAATGTTCAATTTATGTTATTTATTAAAAGTTTCTAACCTCCGTTCCCTGACCTGATGTCTCTCTATCCAGCCTCCACAGGGAGATGTTACACTAGTATCACTCTCTGAAATCTCACAGACCGAAAAGAACACTTCATGCTTATTTGTCCACATGTTTGAAATCTGCAGTTGTCTGAAGGCACAAACCTCCTTGTTCCCTTCACAGCCAAGTAAGAGTCTTATGGAAAAATAATTATTAAAATACCTGGATTTTCTCATGCAGGAGACTGGGACTAGATGAAAAATGTTACAGCACAGTAGTTGGACTGTGAAAAAAGGAAAGAGGTGGTCTGTCTCCGCCACTCACTCTAGACTGTCAACATCATGCAGTGAGGTAAAAAAATGCTTTCTAAAAAAATTTTCATAGGGGACAAAAGCTTCGTCGGGGCTGCTAAGGAAAGAGTGCAACAAGCAGATGGGTTAAGAAGAAGAGGACCAGAATGACAGGGAATCAGCTAGTCAGAAGTATTGAAACCCATTAATTTGCTTGTGTCTTATTGATCAGAAGAGAATAATAGATTTTGTACCTTAGAGGCCTTGGTTTGTTTTTTAAACCCTTCACTTCCACCCACGCCCTAATATAATATCACTGAAGTTTTCATATGTTACATAAAATGAAAAGTAATTACCATGAGTAATAAATAAAGAGAGTTACAAACCCCACAACATACAAAATCCATATGTGATTTACCAGGACATTTACAATAACTGATTCCATAAAAAGAACTGATATAATAAACAAGGTTATCTTGGACTCCACCATTAAAATTAAATAAACCAATGGCTGGGTTGCCAATACAACAAGATACACCTTCAGAATATTGTAAGTCTCTTATGGAAGGAATGGAGAAATATCTATTTGGCTCCCTCAATATAGGCTAAAATAAATATCCCCAGTGATAAATCAACTTAAGTGTACTTCATGGCCAGAAATTTCCTGATTGCTAGGATTCCCCATACATTGCAAACTATTCCTCTAGGAATGGGGCAGAACATTTTCTCCAGTAGTAATTTTCACTATCAGGAAAAGGAACTAAATGCTTCCACTGTTCTATCTGCTCAAAAGCCAAGTTGTACCCATTTAACAAATACATATCTCTAGCAGAAAAAAGGCATAAAGCAATCCAATGGTTAGAAACTGAAGCTAGACAAATTCAGTCTAGAAAAAATGCAGTTAAAACAAACCACTTGAAACAGAGCAAGTAGTTAACCACTAGGACATACCTCAGGACATGGTGAATTCTCCATCAAATGAAGTCTTTAAATCAAAACTGATATCTTTATGAAAGATATGCTATAGCTCAAAACAAAGTTATGGACTTAATGCAGAAATTACTGGGTGGGTTTCTATAATCTGTGTTATAAGGAGGTCAGACTAGATGATCATGGTGGTCTTCTGACCTTAAAAATCTAATAATATCTGCAACTGCAAGGAAAAAATCCTTAGTCAATTCATGAATCATTTCCCTATGAGCTTTGCAGATGGTTTAATTCTGCAGCACCTCCAGTAGAGACGGAGGAATCCTTTTACTCCTGCACTTAACACACTAATTCAGTTACACATATTTAATATCAGCATCTCCTGGAAACTAAAAAACTACAGAGAAGTAGGTATCGATTTTCCATATGTTGTACCACTATTGAGGTATGCTAACTTTTTTTTTCTGCCTCCAAATAGCCCCTTTCTTTCTTGGTCTGCCATTTAAGGTAGATCTCAGAACAACAAGCATTTAAATTTCCAAAAAAGTTAACACTTAGGTTAATATGTAAAACTGAATATAAGGTAAATGAAAAATTAGCTGAGTGCAGACCTTACAAGCCTCACGAGGTGGTGCAGAGTGCAACACAATCCTGGGGACACTAAGACCCAGAAGAAGCCTGCACAAGAAAGAAGCAGATCCTCCCTCCTGCTGCTGTCTCCGCCCACCTTCAGGTCCCAGATCAACTCCTCTGTCCCTCCTTAACTCTACCTTGGGCCTTCAGTACTCAACTCCAGGGGAAGGGAAATGGCACTGGCTTTTAAACCAACACTTTCCAACCTCCAAAAGCTGCAGAATTCCTGCCTCTGCGCAAAAACCGTTTTTCACTGAAACTTTTGAAGTTTGCTGACTAGCTGTAATTGAAAATATTAAAATTAATAGGCTTACACAGCAACTAGCAAATAAATAATAGTGTCAACATCAACATGGCCTTCACTGATGCAGATTTTGGGCACCCAGTTTTACTGGATATAGGGGTGCATTTTTAGAGTAATCAAAGATGGGAAGCGGTCATACACTGTGCTATTTAAACTGACAGTTATGTGTGTTCCAAGTCACAGTCATTCTGTCTGAGAGAAGCACCTGAGTTGGAAAATAAGTGTGGGTGGGAAATTAAGTGTGTGTGGGGGGGGGGGGGGGGAGGAGAGGATTTATATATAAAGCAAGCAAAAGTAAAACCGATTTCAGAGAACCCTCAGACCACTGAGAGAAACATAGCAAGAGAGTCCTCCACGCTCAGTGCTGAACAGCAACCAAAATAGCAATAAACCTTCATTACTACATTCTAGGAATCTCTGGATATTGGCTCTGTGTGCCTATACTAGGTTAGATATATTTCTCTGCACTGAGAGTCAAAATTGCTAATGCAACTCTATATACCATCTCCCTAAACTTCGCCCTCTGGCTAGTCATTAAATTACTCAAGCCATCTCTGAAATGGATATTGATTAACAAATTTCATTTTAAAGAGAGACAAATTGATCCTTGTTATTAGTTGCTCTTCAAATGTCCCCAACTAGATTGCCTAGGAACACAGACAATGGCAGTAATCAATTGGAGCCCACTCTTTCATGTCCTGGAAGCTGTGGAGTGCTGTCAGGGTTAAAGATTGTTTGCCCAAGAATCCCAAGCACGCTTATCTCTGATCAGATTATATCTATTTCATTTCCCCTGTTAGTTACTGTATGGCTACAACTGACACAATCAAAGAGCCCCAAGGCTGTAACTGATATCTGAATAAAGATACTTCAAGACTTCTAACTGGGAATATGCACAGGAAACAAATTTAGGAAATCCTGCTTTCTGTTACAGGAAATTAATCCTATTCCAACTGGTAGAAATTACCCTCACTGTTCAAAAGTAAGAAGAATACAAGTTTTTGTACTCATTTCATAAACTGACCTCTCCTGACATGCTAATATTTTATTGATATAGAATTTCAAAGGTAGGCTATAGATGCCTGTTAAAGACTTTCCCTCTAGGAATCCATGAATGCTATTTAACAGGATCACACTTTCCTGAACGGTTTAACTAGCACTGGTTTCACATTTAGTACCACCTATTGTGAGACACACAGTAGATGTTTGACTGATATTTGTACTCTTGAGACCTACAGACAAGACGTCTTCAGTGTGGTAAAGCATATTTAATTTCTGAAACCACTTGCAATTCACTGTTCAAAACATTGCAAGGAAAACAATGTAGACAAAGTATAATTTCAGAGAGATTAGTTATAAAGTTACAATATAAAAATACTATGTATTACAGCCATATTAGTTGCAAAAAAAATTTAAAGCAGGAGTTACAATTACAATTGGAAATATGTCAAACTTCACTGAGACTTTACGGGCATGTAGGTAAAGCAACAGAGGCTATGAATGTAAATAGCCAATAAATTCACTAAGAAACAGCCTCAAATACTGACCACAAAAATTAACATCTGGAAATTGTTCAGATCCCATTTCAATGCAAAGGCACCTACTTCTGTAAAACTGCTTTATTGGCGGGAGCAACACTTTAAGGAGAAACCCAGGTAAGCAAAATACAGAACAAAAGTATGGTTTGGAAGCAGCATTTGCACAGTGCCTGTTCACACCAAGCACCATGAAGACAGAAATACCCTTTTGTCACCATGAGCACAAGAATTTTGTTTACAAAAGAATGTGCTTAAAATGATCCTATACTGGGGGCTAGGAAACCTTTTGTCCTCTTGAAAGGAGATCATGGTCTATTTGAGTGAGTAATCATAGGAAATATTTTAAAAGTATGTGCAATGTAGGGCAAGTCATCACCACAAGCTTTTGAGGTTGTACCTTACTAGAATAATCTTAGAACTCTGGCTATTTGAAGGATTTAAAACAATTTCTTATATGAACAGCTCCTCACCTTTAACACCACCTTTAGGAAACCTAGCTAGTCTTATAATGTTAAAAGTGAAAAACTGTTTATATAAAGCAATAAGAAAAAATCCCCTTCAAATACTGCCAAAGATCTACACATCATCAATGGAATTTCTAAAAAAAATTTCAATTTTTCAGTCTTTTAGCAGATATGGGCAAGTGTAATTATTCAAACAAACTGTTAAGAAACCATAATTAGCACTGAATAATTTAGAATTTGTACAATACTGTTTTAGTTTAGTTGCAGTAAAATATATATCCAATAAGTATTACTCATACACAAAATATAAATATTTAAGGGTAGTGGGAGGGCCCAGGTGCCCCCGACTTGCCACTGAGGAAGTGACTAAACAGTAGACTGTGGTCACCACTGAGAGAAGTGGCTGGACAGGGACTACAGAGACGTCCCCGGGAAGGGGGAAGCATCAAGTGTGGCATGGCCAGAGGCCTTTGTCACTGAAGAGGACATTGCGGTCCTTGGAGGGACATGGGTCCAAAAGCAAAAGAGATGATGGGCTGAGCACTTCTAGAGCAAGGCACACTGGCTACCAGAGCTAATTCCCATATTGGCCATGAAGAGATGCTGGAGTAGTGAGTGGATCCCGTCACAGGCCCTTACTGGACCATACGCCAGTGGAGGATTAGCACAGCAGAGCTCTGTTCTGACACAGTCCCCTCCCTGCTTCTGTCACATAAGATACACTGCGATAAAAAACCTGCAGCACCAAGTCTCAGAATCCATGTCAGCTGATTTGGGCTCGGGGGGGATTGGGCTGTGGGGCTGAAAATAGCAGTGTAAAGTTCAGGCTCAGACTGGAGCATGGCCTCCGAGACCTTCCCCCACTTTCTGGGTCTCAGAGCCTGGGCTCCAGTCCATGCCCAAATGTCTACACTCTACTTCTATAGCTCCATAACTCGAGCTTGAGTCAGTTGACCTGGGCCAGCTTTGGGTCTTTTACTGCAGTTTAGACATACCCATAGAGGTGGGGGACTGCAGGCATCCTTGCCAGATCTGGCCCTTTGCACCAGCAGCGAGTTCCCCTGTGACAAAAGAATTCTCTGTTGGGCATTTGTGGTCAGTTTATGCTCCCTTTGTCCCATAACTGCATAGACAATCTGACCCCTTGACTTGACTAGAATAGCCTTGCCTTAAATTAAAGATGAGCTGTGGTTCTCCTTGCTAAATATACATAAAATTGGTTTAACATATATGCAAAGAGGGAGGGTTTGTTCCACTTGTAAAATATTTATTGTTTGACATGTAGCACTTTCATTATTTCCCTATTCATTCCTACAGAAAAGAGATTTGATTATGCTTTTTCTTCAGAAATTGTCTATTTCAAGCCTTTAAAAACATGGAGGTGAGGGAGAAGAGGGTGGAGAAAAAAGGAAATCTCACCTCGTCAGGACTGGAAGCCTGGTACACCCTGCAGGAGTCTTCATAATGTCTCTCAGCTTCAGCCTGATCTGTCACGCCATTAGATTCATACACTGGTGTCACGTTGTGGCAGAGGGCAATCGCTTTCACAGCCTCGTGAACACGGCTACTCATGGTTTTACGTACTTTGGTGGCAAGGGTGGGGCCTTTTAAAGCAGGTGGGTCTTGTGACTGCTAACGAGAAAGGAGAAAAGAAAGTGTAGACAGTTTTGAAAAGCAGGAATAATCGAATATCATTAAGGATCTTACTTCTGTTATAACCATACACATACTATTTGCATGGACTCATGCTTCCAGTAACTTGGGATATGTTTTTGACTGGGGCATCTTCTTTGTATGTGCTATCATGGGAATAACTGAGACCACTTCCCAGTTATGTGCAGCTAAATGAAGTTAGATTTACTTAACTATAGGTGAAATGAAAAAATAACTCCCTAAGATATTTGTCCAAGAGTTTTCAGCACAGCTTGGATGAAAAGGGTAATTTGTTGCAGATCCACCAAATCACTACACAAGCTTAGTGGATGAAAATGTTCCCCCAAAATCACCAGATTGTGTGTTCCATTGAAACCACATTTTGCTCAACAAAAGGCTAGTGGCTTTTATGCTTGAGAATGAATTGGCTTTCATATGCATGAACACATGATTGCTGAAAACAGAAAACAGATGGGCTCACATGGAATGAGAAACTTAAATTAAGTTCATTTAATTTTTAATACTATTTTTAGTATCAGAATCAGACTCCTCAGGTAATTATACAATTACTAAATTATGCTGGTCACAGAGGGGAGACATAGTGATCCAGTTTCCTGTTCTGTTAACCTTTAATGTCAAGAGGACAAAAGTTTCACTTCCAGGTCAAAGGGCATAGCATGGTAAAAATAAGAGCAATAAAGAACTACAATTTAAATGAATCATTACTAGCAAATGCTTCTAATTATAAAGTATCTCAATTTTTAAACTATAAGAACATATATATTATAAGATTTATGGGAAGTTCAGCACACAAGTTTAGCACACAAATTTTGTACAATTAAATGCTCTCTTCAAAATTTGAGTCTCTAATAAATTTAAAATCTATCTGTGGGTTTTAAACTGCTATCCATCACCCTGATATTAGTGTGCCTTCCACATAAAATCAATAGGAATAGTGAAGTCCTTGGTTCAACCACATTTAGAGTCACATACTGTACCCAACCATTCATCCGTTAACTCTAGTATCCTGTCTTGACTAATACTGGATACTTTAGGAAGTAATTTACCCCTAGTCGAGTTTCTTCACCTCTCAGACTGAGATGGTGCCTGAACAGGTGTAGCCTGATCACAGAGAAATGTTTATAGACAGGAAGTATCTGGCAGTTCAGACTGACTAGCAGCTCTCAATTTCTGACAGAGATCAGATGCCAAAATGGCTCTGAAAGCCAAAGAACAAAAGACAGGTAGGTGGCTAAGGCAGCCAGGAGTTGAAAGCCACATCTACTAATATGCACACAAAGTTTCTGAGGTGTCTGAGAATGCCAGGTGTGCAAGACATCATTGTACAATGACCCACCTATCTGTTGCCAAATTCTATTGACTGAATCTGCAGGGTCACATTTTACAAATGAGGAAAAGAGCAGTAACTAAAGACAGAGACTTCTGATAATTAATAAGCCACTGCAAAACAATTTCTAGCTGTAGGAGCATCTAATGGTTGGAGAGAAAGCTGCTTGTAAAGAGCAAATTTTAAAAATCAGAAAAATGGTTTACTGATAACTAAATTATTATTAATTTAAACAGTGTTAAAAGGCAACCTAAAACATTAACTACTGATGACTTCCTAAGGGTTAACCATTTTTTCAAGTGTAATAACCTGCCAGGCTAGTGCAGCAGAAATTCATCTTGTTTTCAGGAAAGAGGTAAGACACGTTTCATATGAGAAATTCTCTTGACTTCCAGATGGATTTTTTAAAATTATCAAGCCCCTCATTAGCATAAAGAGTGAAGTTAGTTATTTTAATGAGTCCTTGTGGCACCTTAGAGACTAACAAATTTATTTGGGCATAAGCTTTTGTGGGCTAAAACCCACTTCATCAAATGGGTTTTAGCCCACGAAAGCTTATGCCCCAATAAATTTGATAGTCTCTAAGGTGCCACAGGGACGCCTCATTGTTTTTGCTGATACAGACTAACATGGCTACCACTCTGAAACCTGTTAAATATTTTAATTCTTATTGAATAGTGTTTTCATTTAATTTAAACACTCTACTGCAATATGTGCAATGCAGTCACAGGAGCATAACACTTAGACATGTACCAAAAAGTTAAAGCGACCGACCTTTTGCATTTCACTAAGATTGGATTTAAAAAAAAAAATTTGTTCTTAATTAAAAAAAAAAAAAAGTTCTTTCACTTGTCTTAGGTAAGGAAGCTCTTTTTAAGTCTGATTTTTACTGGACCATTTCCCTTTAAAGGAGACAAGAAAAACTAAAATGGAAACAAATTTCAAATAATAATTGAAGGCTCAAAGCATTCTATTGCAAAGAGGATTTGTTTTTATTTGTAAAGGATTGTAATGAATTATGAATCCCAAATCTAGGACAACAGGATACGTGTTCATACTTCATGGATTGGTGCTGATATTTTTGGATGTGCCCTTCATGATATATGTAGGCACAGCTGTGGTCATTACTTTTACTTCACAGGAAGTTGCAGAGTGACTGCTAGGGTTCTTTGATAGGTTTACCCAATTTATGAGAATGACAAAGGAAATTACAAGCCATAGCACGAGTCAGGAAATGTAGTTTTCTCACCCTGATAGTTCATAAGATGTCTATTTGTTATACAAAATTGAACCAAAAGAGTGCAAGCATATAAACAAAGAAGATCCAGATTGTTCACTACCATAGAAAAGGAATGCTAAGGGAAAATCTCCCATTATCATGGAATCATAGGACTGAAGGGACCTCGAGAGGTCATCTAGTCCAGTCCCCTACACTCATGGCAGGACAAAGTATTATCAGACCATCCCTGACAGGTGTTTATGTAGAATGGCCTTGCTTTGTAAGTTAAATACTGTACTTACTCATGTGATTTACATGGAGATTTTTGGTATTTAAAGTTGAGACCAACTGGCCAAGTTTCAAAAGTACAAATTAATATTATATCAGCCTGAACTATGATTTTAGACAATTTTGAAAAGATACCGAATGCTGTGGAAGAACTTTCCAAGTTGTAGCCAGTTTTGAAAAGTGGATATTTGGTTTGGACCATAAACATTCCCAGGAAACGTCTAATACTGTACTGTATGCAGTATTACCAACGTCAAGAGATCAAAAAGCATGAGTCAGGCCCCCCAAAATCATGAGCTTGGCCCAAAATTCATGAGCTCTTTTAAAGAGATTGTATTGTGCTTTTTAGGTCAGTCTCTTGATTTTTGAACTTGCCCTGCCCATCCCCAGGGTGTGTATGTGACAATTAGTGTTGTCTACTCCCACATGTACTGGACAAGGTGATTTTGGCCCCTGCTGCAGGAGCTCTCATCCCCATATCTGCCCCTCTCCTGCTCAGCAATTAATCCTGTCCTCCAGTCCCTCATCAGTTCTGTCCCAACCCAACCCCCTCAATTCAACTCCCGCTCAGTTCAGTCCCACAGCCCCCATCAACTCCCACTGTCCTCAGTTCACCTCCCAGCACTCACCCCATCTGCTCAGAACCAACCATCAATACAGCCCTCCCATCCCACCAGCCCCCTCCCTCCCTCCTCACTTCAGCCCCACTGCAGGCCCCAGACCATAGTTCAGCCCTTCCAGCCTCACCTATGCTCCTCTTAAGGTTCTTCCCCCTCACCAGGCTGCGTTGGGTGGGGGTGAGCTGCAGAGGGGTCCCCCTCCCACTTCCCAGGTTGGCAGGGGAACCCTGGCTGCGGGGCTGACAGTGGGGAGCCCTGGCCACCAGGGGCTGATAGCAATTTCTAAGTAAAATTAAGCCTCACTTGTGATCTCTGGATAGAACTCGGAAATATCAGGCTTATTTTTTTTCAGCCACGGCTGGTAATTATACATATATACACCTCTGACCCGATATAACACGAATTCTGATATAACGCGGTAAAGTAGTGTTCGGGGGGGGGGGGTGCGCACTCCGGTGGATCAAAGCAAGTTCGATATAACGCGGTTTCACCTATAACGCAGTAAGATTTTTTGGTTCCCGAGGACAGCATTATATCGAGGTAGAGGTGTACATATTAATCATGCAGCTGCCTATATGTTTTACTGAAAATTTGAGCTATGTAGTCAGGATCCCTTTATGAACAGCCCAATGACCTGTCAAACTGTTCACTGCTTTGAGAACAAAGAGTTAAATTAATCAGACTTTACTTTACCTGCGTATATATACTAAATATATGGCTCTGCACTTCATCCATGGAGTCCAGTCCATAGGCTACTGTCCCAAGGTGAAGCCTTTTAAAAACCATCTCATTCTGTGTGAGAGTTCCTGTAACAGAAGCAGCATTATAGGCGACGTCCAAGCCCTGGCAGACACTTATTTTCCATTCAAGCCCTGTTCCCTGCTTTTCCCAACAAAGAGCGAAAGGATGAGATGGGAGCACAGATGTTTACCTAGTTACTATAATGAGCTACTAGTGCAGCTTCAAGCGAGTGAAAAACAATTTTAGTAACTTGTGGGTAGATTATTGCAGGGAGTGGTAGAGTACTTGGCTAGGAGCTCCATTAAAATGAGATTACTCACCAAGTAACTTACTGCTTAATGAGATAAGGGTATCGGTGTGAAATCCTGACCCCACTGAAGTCAATTTCAGTTTACCCATTGACTTAAATGGGTCTGGGATGTCATCCCAGAACCTGGCCCTTGACTATTAACTTAGTTCTTTTGTTGTCCTAGACCAGAGTCATGAAGGTTCTGTGACATTAAAAGCTGGAATGATGGCAGGTGACTGGTTTCTGTTCCTAAAGAAGGGTTGTCTGTGGAGCTGGGTAAAATGTATTTGGCAAATTTATTGCTCGCCACACAATGCATTTTCCAGGCACCAAAACTCTTCACCGAAATAAATAAATAAATACAGGCCACAAAACCTGGAAATGTTGATTTAAAGTTTCATCTTGAAAAGGTCTATTTGATTTCACAAATCAAAACATTGTGTTTCAAGCCAAAAAAAAGTTTTTTGTTTTTTCATTCTGGGGAGAAAACCTGGAAAAAGAAAACTAACAGAATTTTATTTTGTATATTTCTGTTCAACCTCTGAAATGAAAACAAGTGTATTTAAAAAAAAAGAAAAAGTAGTAAGTTATTCCATTCCCTCTCGCTCACAGAACAGGGGCTGAAGACTGACAGAAGTGAGTGATGGTGAGGAACACACACAATAAACCATAAGGGGTGAAAAATCATCCCTGTCTCTTGCCTACTTATGTGCACACCCCCTCATTAAGAAAGGGCTCCATTATATGAAAGAACAACATGGAGATTCAAAACATAGTTTATAATCAAGGTACTGAATCACATTTTCTAAAAGAAAATCCCTGTTAGAAAAGAAGATACATTATATCAGTGGTCACCAACCAGTCGATTGAGATCAGCTGGTCGATCCTGGAGACTCTCCAAGTCGATTGCGATCTCTGGCTACACAGCCGCTAAGGCAGGCTCCCTGCCTGCGCCAGCCCCAGGCTGCTCCTGGAAGTGGCCAGCATGCCCCTGCGGCCTGGGTCGGTGGCAGGGGTCTCCGCACGATGCCCCTCTCTGCAGGCACCGGCCCCGCAGCTCCCATTGGCCAGGAACGGGGAGCTGTGGTCAATAGGAGCTGCGGGAGCGGTGCCTGTGGAGAGGGGCAGTGTCTGTGGTGCCACATGCCCTCCCCCAGGGGCTTGAGGAGCGCATTGGCCCCTTCTGGGAACAGCGTTGGCCTTAGCCCTGCTGCACCGCTGACCGGGAGCTGCCCAAGGTAAGTGCCCCCCGGTGGGAGCCTGCACCCCAACCCTGAGCCTCCTCCTGGAGCCAGCACTCCATACCCCCTCCTGCATCCTAAACCCCTGCCCCCTCCCAGAGCCCCCTCCCAGAGCCAACATCCCGTACCCGCTCCTGCACCCCAACACTCTGCCCCAGCCCAGAGTTCCCTCCCACACTCCAAACCCCTCAGCCCCAGCCCAGAGCCCGCACCCCCTCCCGAACCCCAACCTCCTGCCCCAGCCCAGTGAAAGTGAGTGAGAGTGTGGGAGAGCGAGCGAGCGAGCAATGGAGAGAGGTGTGGGTGGGGCTTTGCAGAAGGGGCAGGGCCTCAGGGAAGGGGTCGGGTAGATCCTGGGTTGCACTTACATTCAAAAAGTGATCTTGCCCGTAAAAAGGTTGGAGACCACCGCGTTATATTTTCCTACCCCATCAAAGGAGAATGTATATTAACTTATTTGACTATTCAAAGAAAATGTTACCCAAAAACATTCTTCACGCTTTTGCCTATATCAAAACTCCTGATAACTCATTTACCTGCATACCTGTTTTGTCTGTAAGTAAATAGGATATCCTTCCGAGCTGCTCTGGAATAGTGCTGGATCGAACCACTGTCCCAGGAATTTTGGAATCCCTACGGATCATCCAGCTGTAGACTATTTTCCCCATATCCAGGTTCACACGTAAGCTATGTTGGGGAAAAAAGAACAAAAGGGCTAAAAAAAAAAAAATCATCTGAGAATATCCCCAAAGAAATGGGATAATAAATTTGCTATAAAACTTTTGGACAACATCATGAGCTACCACAGGAAAGTGCTATAATAAAAAGGATGGTACTTCCATATTAGAATTGAGCAGCACAAAAAGGTGTTGAGGGAGAACCACGTATTAGCTCCTGTGACAGCAGTGAGAAGTTCAAAGTTGCTAAGGAAAGAAGATATACCGTGAATGGAAGATGGACACACCATCTAAGTAGGGATAAAATGATCAACAACAAAAAAACCAGAGGTTTAAAAAAAAAAAAATGGTGGTGGCTTGCTTTCTTCCTCTCACCCCCTTCATTTTTGCTCACCTCTCTTCAGGGAAACAAGGAAGCCTGTAGAGCAAGAAAGGCTGTCCCTGCAATAGGCATTTCTAATCCCTCATTTCTGGAGAACTCACAAAAAAGTCCAATATTGTAAAATTCTAGATGTGTATGTTAAAGTGTGGTAGAGTAGAAGGCTATACATTTTGCTGGGAAGTGTTAATTGATTAGCTTACCTAATAGGAATGATGTTTGAAAACAGGAGGAGGAATCGTATGATCTGAAGATACCAGCGGCCTGCGAAATGCTGGAGGGCCACCATGACAAGCGAGACCACCACAAGGGCTCCGAACAAGATTTTGGTGAGGCAGTTCACTTCCAAGTCAAATAGTCCAATCTAAGCAAATAAAATAAAATATTTTCTACAGTGTAAATCGAGAGATTAATCCATGTAGTGTTCTCATATTTGGCATGAGCTGCCATCATGCCTTGAAGTGTGCATGCACCCAAAGAGCTAATGGGATTCATGCATACATTTCCAGTGCAGAAATGAATGCAATAAATGAAACAGAGCTCTCGAGACTATGGGGGTGGGGACCCGCAGAAAACTAAAAACAGCAACAGCAAGATTAAGCATTAGTTTCAAATCAACTGACAGTTCCAAGATGTTGTTCATCACCAGACACATTTTCTTCTCTTCATTTAAATCTCTGTACGGTTTTGCATTTCAAAGCAACACTTGCCCCAACTCAACCTTCATGCTTCCAAGCCTTTGGAGGTACAATATCACAAGCACTGGAGTGCTACACACCTGCTGCTGCCACTTTCTAATGCAGGGGTAGGCAACCTATGGCACTCGTGCCAAAGGCGGCACGCAAGCTGATTTTCAGTGGCACTCACACTGCCCGGGTCCTCGCCACCGGTCCGGGGAGCTCTGCATTTTAATTTAATTTTAAATGAAGCGTCTTAAACATTTTAAAAACCTTATTTATTTTACATACAACAATAGTTTAGTTATATATTATAGACTTATAGAAAGAGACCGTCTAAAAACGTTAAAATGTATTACTGGCACGCGAAACCTTAAATTAGAGTGAATAAATGAAGACTCAGCACACCACTTCTGAAAGGTTGCCGACCCCTGTTCGAATGTAAACTGCCTTTTCAAAAAACGGTATTTAGAAGTGATCAACTCTGTTAACACTTCGGTGAAGAGATCTGAGATGCCTCATATTGTCAGCAACTGGTCACTAACATCCACAGAACTAAACTTACCTAAGGGACACGATACAACATTGTGTGTGGACAATTTCAATTGTATCTTTATAGTTAAAGCTACTGTGGATGCAGTCACACTGGTATAAATGTATTTATACCGGTAGAGCTTAAGGCTGCACAATAAGCCAAGCCACTATAACTGAGTGAACGCTAGGGTTGTACCAATATAAACAAAGAGTCATTCCCCTAACATACATCGCTATTCTGGTACAAAAAACACTCGTAGACCAGGCTGAGAAAGTAAGGCAGGAAGAGACCACCTATGAGGAGTATTCTAAATTGCACACTGGAAGTCAATCACAATTCAGCTGATGCTGCCCAGTTTACATCGTGGTTAGATGTTTTCTGTTTAAAGGTACGTCTTCACTACCCGCCGTATCGGCGGGTAGCAATCGATTTATCCGGGATCGATATATCGCGTCTCGTTAAGACGCGATATATCGATCCCTGAACGTGCTCACCGTCGACTCCGGAACTCCACCAGAGCGAGCGGCGGTAGCGCAGTCGACGGGGGAGCCGCGGCCGTCGATCCCGCGCCATGTGGACCTCAGGTAATTCGATCCAAGATACTTCAACTTCAGCTACGCTATTCGCGTAGCTGAAGTTGCGTATCTTGGATCGATCCCCCCCCCCCCAGTGTAGACCAGCCCTAAGAGACAGAAACTCAACATAATCTCCATGATGAACCTTTACATGGCTGCCCCCATTGATGTTTCATTTTTCTCTGAAACAGCTGGTGTACGCATAGGCATAGTTTGCAGGGGCAGCTCCAGTCAGGCCAACGGGGCTGAGCGTGGTGGGGAGGGGCAATTGCCCGCCTGCCCAAGACTTGCAGTTTGAGGGGGAGCAATGACCCCTCTGCCCCCACCCCCTCACAAACTACACCCATGGGTGTATGTATCTGCAAGAAATAGAATACTGGGCTAGATCAGAGAGTCTCAGTCTCTTTAATGCTGTGATTGTACGCTAACCCTCTCTCTCAACTAGTTATCGTCAGATGCACTCCATAAATAATCTTGGTTCACATGGTGCTTTAGAAGAAATAAGGAGTCCATGGGTGCTGCAAAGGAGGTGCCACAGGAACTGGGGTAATGATTTTACAGTATTTCTCGTGTCTGAGGAGGACTGATTACTAAGAAGCAAGAAAATCAGTTTACTCAAACATCAGGAGAGGGAATGAATTCACAACCCACAGGTTGAGATCCATTGTACTATAGTGGCCCAACTGTCTCCTATTGTACACCAACAACGAAACGCCGTACCTTACTTCGTGGATTTGAAGTGTTCATGACACTGCGCAGTTCCCTCCCTGTGTAAAGAACAACTCCCACAACTGTGCCTAAATGAAATAAAAAACATGATGTATATTATTCTGGGATGAACAGGTTAAAATAATGGTGCTTTTTTTTTTTAATGGTTGGGATGATGCTTGTTCTTAAAAGGTTTATTTTATCCACAGACTCAATGTGCAGGCACATTTTTAGTAGATTAATTTTAGAAAGCATGGAGAGCACCCACAAAAAAAAAAAAAAATCAACTGATTCAAGTACCTGAGATATAAATTGGAGGGGTGGAGAAAACTGATTCTGCATATAAAAATCAGCCCATCTCCCTCCTACAAATGCCAATGCCTGAAGCTGGACACGGCACTCCTAATTATCATCATCTGTGCAATTAACCTTTAGGTAACGCAACATAAATTATTCTACTATAGTGCCTAAAAGGATAAGATGCCCCTTCCCTATTTTCCTCCCTTAAATTCTTGGTGTGAATTCCCACCCTGTTGCAATCAAAGGAGTTGAAAAGCAGGGGTTTCAGTTCACCGCCACCACATAGTTGTACTGTTGCTTGGGTTGCTGGCTCTGGAGGCCACAAACTGTTTATGCCTTACTGTTGTCCTCAAAAAGCATAAAACAGCCACTTCATTCTAGTGGCCAACCCTGCTAGCTAATGGAAATATAATACAACATTTAAACAGCAATGTGGTTATCTAGTTGTAGAATGTCAGTGTTGCAAGTACATTTTGCAACATGTCAACATTGCTCATTCCTGCCCCAGCACTAACCTCCTGTGGGTGATGGAATACTTAGTAGGACAGACACCCCAAGGACTCATATCCAGTTAGTGCTTCCATAATTTTGGGAGAATGTTGATCAAGTGTATCCAGTTACGTTTTAATTCTGGCCCTGGAAGCCCTCAAGCATCTTTAGCTGGTGCACTTCACAAGTCTGAAGTCACTGTAGCCCTGATGGCAATTTCAGTGAAACAGGACTGTGCAATCCAATGTGTTCGACACATGACCATGAGCCCTGGTGGCTTCCTCTTTCTGTCTCGTAAAGGTTGCGGAATTATGCCTCTCTCACAGGGCAAGTAATAATGATTTAATGATAAGGTTATGCACCTATTGACATATATTCACCTTGATAATCTTCTCATACGTTCATATACCTGCACATACAAGTTGTGCAGGGCATATAAACAGCTGCTAGGGCCTATATTTTTAAAGATATTTTGTACAGGTTAGATGCATAGATGACATTCATGCAAATCCATGACTCCAATATGGCTGTCTCCCTCAATGTGCTGCTTGTCCAAGACTTACTTTGTGGTGCTAAGGCAGAGGTCTCCAAACTGTGGGGCACAGAAAAACATTCGGGGGGACGCAGCTGGGGCCCGGGCCAGCCCCCCCGGGGAGGGGGAGGGCGGGAGCATTACCCAACTCCGCTCCTGGCCTTGGCTCTGGCTGCTGGGCTGGGACCCCAGCTGCCAGCCCTTGCTGCCGGCCTCGCACCCAGGACCCCAGCTGCCGGCCTCGATCCCTAGCCCCGCCCGCAGCTATAGCTCCAGCCTCAGCCCCCTTACCTCTGTCGGTGTCCGCCCCTCCCAGAGCTCTGGCCCCCCTCCCAGTGCCGGCTCCGGAGGAGGGAAGGGGGGAAAAGGTTAAGGGGGGGGTGCAAGGTAAAAAGTTTGGGGAGCATTGTGCTAAGGGCTATGTGGAAGGTAACAGACTAAGGATGACAGAATGATTATCACAACACCATGTTCCATATATAGGGCATGCAATAAGACATTCACCACACACAACTTTGCAACTTCAATAACAGGAGCATCCTAATAAAGAAGGCTAAGCTGATCTGCAATAGTTAGCCCAATATTCTTTCGATGGCCTTCCTACTACAGTGTCATGGATGAATTACCCACGTCATGAATCAGTATATTTGCAGTGATAAATATTCCTGATTAACTCCACAGCTAAGTTTGATCTTTCTTCTGTGCAACTGTGGAAAAGATGCCAGGTACATTTCCTTTCTACTACCCCAGCTCATCTTTTAAGAATTAGCTTTCCATTTGCACACTGACAGATCCAGAATGCGTGTGAATCAGGGGGGTTTTTTTTCTTCTTCGTAAAATAACTGACATCTGGAAGACAATTAAGGCTAGCAGCAGAGTCAGGAGGACTAATAACTTTCTTAAATTAAGAGCTCAATAAATTGAATTCATTGGGTTTGATTTAAAAAAAAAAACCCATTTGAAAAGTCTTTACTAGATTTGGACAGGCAGAAGAACCAAGTTTTATCAAACCCTTGGAAAATTAAATTTGTAGACAGTGCTGTCGTTTGTAAGTTCTTTTATCAGAATTGTATTTCTGAGAAACAAAACTGCATGAAGTTGCTATAAGCAGAGCAGTGAAGTTTCATCCAAACAGGAGAATCCACTTCTAGACATAGGACTTGATCCTGCTCCATTCAAGTCAATGCAAAAATTCTGGTAATACTGTATTATGGTAGCATTCTAGAGGCCCCATAGTGCTAGGCATTGTGCAGACACATGTTAAGAAACAATCGCTGGCCTGAACAGTTTACAATATTAACAGAGAGGCACAGGGTGGGAGAAAGGCTGTTACAGTCATTGGGACCAGTCAGAGCTAGGCATAATCACAGGAACTAAATAAATGTATTACGTAACTTTAAAACTACATTGTGAATGTTAAACCAGACATATGCCTGCCTATTCCCAGGAAGAGACAGAATCATACTAATTCCTACTATGCAGGAACAGATGGAGCTGCTGGGAGGTGGCAAATATATTTTAATGCTGAAATAAGTAATACACTGAACCATTTCAAAAGGGCTAACAGTGAGTGTATGCCCTACCTCTTAGAAACCAGATTATTCTAGTTGCTCTAAACCCACTGCAGTTTTAACACCTTGCTTTAATTCCTCCCATGCCCATTACTAACCAAGGTTTCAGAGGGCTGCAAACATATTATTTCGAAATAACTTAAGATGTAAAACTAATTCAAACTAAAAATATCCTGGGAAGCATTCTTTAAAAATAAGTCTCTGGAGCCAGATGGCAGAAGGTGGCAAGCACACTAATTCAAATCAGCAGATGGCAGGCTACTCCAAATCTGACAGCCAGCAGCAAGTGGAGTCAGACTCACTCCTACTGCAGCAGCAGACGGACATGCTGCAAAGCTCTGCTTTAACTCAGAAGTGTGTGCTGCACCCAGTGCCATGTGTATTATTTATTCTACTAAAGAGACAAGGAAACTTTGTTCAGTGTAGAGTCACAAAAGTTAAAATGGGGGAAAGCCTATTAGGGGATGGAAAAGGCCTATTAATTTTTCTGAGCAGAACAAAGTTTGAAGGGCAATTTTCACTGGGTACTTGCTCCTAATTGTTGTATGGATATTTGAAATAGACCACATTGTATAAACTATTGAAAAAGTGATTACAATATTTTAAAATGCCATTCTTCTGGGCTGATCCCACAAACATGTATGTACACGAGTAACTTTGCTCACAGGCATAAGTGACAGACTGGACTCTTGTCTTTGTAGCTTTTTGTACAGCAGGTAGAACAATGGAGCTCCAATCCTGATAGGGGCTTCTGGGAGCTACTATAAATAATAAGCTCATCAGGTAGATCTGCATGCAGTTTCTCCCACCGTAGTACAAGTGCCTAAACATGACAGCCCATGTGCATATGAGCTCATCTGATGGCACAGAATGGGAAGGAGGATAATATTCTCTAGACACACTGAGGGGGAAATCTGGCCCCACTGAAGTCAAAAGGACTTCTGCCATTGATTTCCATGGGGACATAACTTCACTCCGAGTCTGGTCATGTCATACCAATATTAACAGCTCAGGAAAGACCTCAGAAGACTACATGAATTGGTTAAGAGTTACAGTTTAAATTATCTAGCACACAAGATAAGTAAGCTAGAAATAGAAAAACATATCTGAAGAGGCAAGAGTTACTAGAACAATGGCTTTCCTGCCTCTTTGTCTTCTTATTTGGTTTAGGAGATGGACTGAATTGAAAACTTGCTCTGAACGGCCTATTTGGTATTTGAAGCTGCCTGCACTAGTACTTGTGTGTTTGCATTCAGGGGGGGAGGTTAGCTGCCAATCAGTTGACAATTACTGAACTATAAATAAGATTTACTCTACTATATTTGGACAGCTATATTTAATTACCTTTCGACATATCACTGTGACAACATTTATTATATTTTAGCATATTTTAAAGAGAAGGAGCAGGAGAACTGGATGGAAACATTGCAGAAATGAAACACACTTACCTTTCTCTGTTTAAAAAACTGGGGGGTGTCCACTGTTCCATTACAAAGAGGAACTTTCTGAAGCTCATATTCCTTCCCATCAGTCACTTTGTGAAGTGTCTCAATACATGGCTAAACACCATACAGTGAAACCTCTAAAAACTCAAAAATGTCAATCCTCAAACTGCACTGCAGAATTTCACTCTTCTTCTGACACTCTCTTGTAACCTAAAGGCACCTTAGCTAGTGAAAGAATGAGCCTTTTCTCCTGACAAGCATTTAGAAGAGAACATTGATTCCTCTCATTCCTTGCAACTTTAGTGTGTGTATGGAACAACCCAAAATTTATCACAGAATGCTTTTTATTTATAGAACCACAACCTAGTGGAAGCATTTACCTGGAGATCTTTTATGTTCGCTTCTATTACTAGACTCTATTTGACACCATTTCTGTTACAGATTAGAATGTCAATGTAGCAATTAAGTGCTATTCTGGTAGCAGACAAGAAGCGCCCAAAGGCCCCTGGAATTCCAGTTCCTTCTCATCTATAAATGTCCAAGAGGTAATTAGATGTCAGCTCAGCTCCCCAGAGATGTTAGAACAAGTGGTAAACTTCATTCCAACTGCTAAATTCTCCAACTGACAGAGATGATTATTCCAAATTACAAAAGGATTTTAAAAAAAATTGCTAACATACTCCTCAAAAAAATTACACGTGCTTCCATCTTACCAGATGCAATCACTGTGCTGGCCCAGAGGGTGTTTTCTATGCTTAGGCTTTCATTCACTGGAGGGTCACTGTCTTCCTAGAAGGGATACACAAACAGCATTCAAACAGCTTACTAGGTGCATTCGTGACACACAGAGAGGCAAAGGAGGGAAAACTTCCTAAGCTTATGAAAATCCTAAAATCTTAACCTTGCCATCAGATCCTCCTGGTTGGGCTAGAAACACAGGCATTTCACACTGGGATGAAAGGGTTGGGGCAGGGGAAGTCTACTGTTGTGCTTTTTCCTGCACAGGCAGCCCCTCTCCACGTTAGAAGAAGGGCGGCTTGTTTCGTTTGACTATTTGAAAGTGATTTGAAATCTTCAACTGGACTATGATGATAGGCAGATTCACGGACCATGACATTGGGTATGTTTTTCACCAACGCGATCCACTCACTTGTGCAAATAACTGACCTTTTTCGGTCTTTTATTGCAAGGTATCAGTGAAATTTCTCCTTTCGCAGTTTAAGCCTCTCAGAAATGCCTGGAAAGCTAAATAAATAATCTGAACCATGCCAGTAAACGACACAGAGCGATCAGTATGCTAGATTCAGTGTCCTTTTTTCAGGGATCAGGATATGAACTCTAGCATGCTTTATCTTTGCATTACAGTGTGTTGCGTGAATTAAGGCCTTTTTAGGGCTAACATAAAATTGCTTCTCTATTTGGATAGTCCAAGGGGATCTACAAACCTCCCAAGCTCTGTAGCTGCCCAAGCTGCTCCCTATCCCATGAAAATACTACCTCCTGTAAAGCCAATCAAGGGATCTCCTCAGCAGCTATGGGATGACGAGATCACAGTCTATCACTTTAAAATAAACAAACGTTGGCAAGCAATTCAGAAAATGACCTAAAAAGTCTCAGGTCTTGTACCAAGCTGTCCATGCTCCTTCAAGCAGGAAGGGAAGAGGATCTTAAAAGTAAGGAACCCATATATAACATGCATTCTTCACAATCCCCTTTCTCCAGGGAGCAGGGGAAGAAGCCTTTGGGCCCAAACACCCATTGCATCTCTTCTCATTTCCCCCACCCCCCATAGTAATAGACAGTTTAATTTTTTTTTAATGTTACATTCTCAGGGACCTTGGGCCAGAACAGAGTATTGGAGGTGCACATCTATTAGGTCACATTAACTCCCACCGACTGTCTGTCCCTGAGAAGGGAGAACCAACCAACCCAGAATAGGAGTTGATGGCCATTGGCTTATGTACCTAAAGTCTTCTGTCCCCATACAGCTCCGAATGGCAGAGACTTTTTCATTCTTTGACCGCTTGTGTGGTGGGCCAGCCTCCCTTCTAGGGTGACCAGACAGCAAACGTGAAAAATTGGGAAGGGGGTGGGGGATAATAGGAGCCTCTTTAAGAAAAAGACCCAAAAATCGGGACTCTCCCTATAAAATCGGGACATCTGGTCACCCTACTCCCTTCTGAACAGGTGAGCTTATTTTACAGCACCATGTTGGACCCAAATGGCCACAACTAATTCCATCTGGATAAGACCCTTAATGCTGAGTGGCCTGTTGTCTTTTGTTTCTAAGGAAAACTCTTAATGAACTATAAAGCTTTAGATTTTATTTAAAACATGGGTGCATATTATTTAGAAGAGAGAAGGATCCCTATTAACCTATTTGACTTTAGTATATTTGTACAGGGCCGAGCAACATTTTAGCATTTCTCCTGAAGCAATCTGAAAGTCACTTCCAAGATCCAAAACACTATTCAAAAGGTCTATGTGGCAAACACTTATATACAAGGCTTAAAACATATCAGTAGACTTACTCTGGTGAAGGTCCCCACAAAATTATGTATGTCAATATTGGGCTCTTCTGCATACACATAGGATCGGATTTGAAGAAGGTCCTAAAGAATAGACATGTTATGGCAGCAGTTAAAACATGATTATCCCACAATATACAAAGCCTTTAAGCCTCCAATTATTTTATGAATAACATTTCTTTAAGCAAATCAAAAAAAGACACTCAGTGTACTCATACGGAAAATCTCTCAGCTGATGAAGACAGAGTAGAATCATTACAATAGCTTCAGCAGAATGGTGTTGCCACAGTTAGAGTTCCTCAAATGGAAATGTGCAGAGACTGCTGGGAGTTATTTGACAGTTGGTGCATTATAAAGGACATTTCAGGCTGAATAATCAGGTTAACGTATGATACATCTACCAGGTTGTGGAATAGCCGGCCAAGGGAAACAGTGAAAATCTTTCAGAGCTTTGGACATTTAGATTATGTCTACACAGCAGATGAGAGGGCTCTTCTCAGGGCGGGTAGACAGACATGCTCTTGCTTGGCTCAAGCTAGCATGCTAAAAATAACAGCCGGGATGCGGCAACGTGGGCAGCAGCTGGGGCTAGCTATCCAAATAAAGGGAGTTGGGCAAGTTTGTACTCAAGTGGCTAGCCCAAGTCACCGGCCATGCCACCACAGCCACACTGCAATTATTAGGGTGCTAGCTGGAGTGGAACTAGCGTATGTTTGTCCACCAGTACTGGGAAGCACCCTCCCATCTGCTGTGTAGACATATCCTGAGTTCAAGACACTAACATGTATAATAGGAAACAGTTCCACAGTGGGAGGGAGATAGATGTGCCAATACTGCAAGTCATTTTGACTACTAACTTATATAAGTATATGGAGTCTTAGATCTTTGCTGAAGAATTTTCCTGATTCTAGGGTTTTTGGAACAAAAAAATATTTATTACAGCTGGCACATTGGCAAAACAGAGGCACACTCAGCTGACTTGTTTTGTTTCTTATAACACACATACACACACACACACACACACACACACACACACACACACAAACACACACAGTTCTGCAGCGAGAGAATTTGGGAAGACACATAGCATTCAATGGTTATATACTTAGTTCAGATGGCAAAGAGGAATAACCATGATCTAAACTCTCTTTTTATGAAGGTAAGCAATGGCTTAAGTGGCAGGAAAAGTTCCATTCTAAGGTCACATGATTTGTTCTCTTGTAGTACAGTAGAGTTCAATGAACAGAAAGGGGAGTATCTGAGAAAGCAGGAAGTGCACTGTCATCAAGGAAATGAACCTTTCTATAATAAATTACTGGTAGGTGACTTTCATATACACCATGCCCCATTTGATTGGCTCCTATTTCAAGGCAGTACTTTGGATGCTAGCTCAGTAATTCTATTTAAGTTTTCCATAGGGATCCATCAATATAGTATCTAAACAATATTAACCTGTCTGTTGAAGTACCCAGTTGAATTCATGAAGTCTTCTGCTATTCTCTCTTCCCTGGCAAAAGGAAGTTCTAATTGTCATTCCTCTTCAGCTGCCAAACTTGCCTCAAAACTGCATAAGGCATGTTGAGAGCACTACTTCATGCTGCACAAGTGGTCACTGTACACCTTATGGGGTGTATTTTAACCATAGATCAATGGATTACTAGGAGTACATTTCAAATAGAAGTTAGGTGAATGCCATTCGTACCCAAATCTCTCTCTTCCAATACCACTTTATGGTCTCTTGAACATAACACAGTCTATATACCACTACTTGTGCTTTAATTTGTCAGTTTCCTCCATTTTTCAAAATCCCAGAGCTCTAACCAGCTGTGAAGTGAGAACTGGAATAATAAAAATTACATTCAATCCTTCCCCCTCCATCTCCCCCCCTCAAAACAAACAAAACAAACAAACAAACAAACAAACAAACAAACAAACAAACAAACAAACAAACAAACAAACAAACAAACAAACAAACAAACAAACAAACAAACAAACAAACAAAAAATCAAGCAACCATGATCTTGTGGAAGAATGGATTTTCCCCTCCCCCACATCATAGTGCAAATATTGGCAGGAGGATCAAGTGTGCAAATAATTTTCTAAGTCTTCCATTGATTCCAAAATGGCAATTATTTTGCCTTCTGTGAAAGCCAGACAGAACACACATTTTTCCCCTTTTGGCAGATTACATACACTTTCAATTGTTCATGACACACTGAGAAACAGTTAATTCAAAAAAAAAAAAAAAAGTCTTTTACTAGGAAACTACTTACAGAAGCGGTGGGTAATCTCTGAGTGCAGGCAACTGGCAGTCGCAGCTTCCAGTCTGTTTCACCATCTAGCTGATCAGTCCGGAGGAAGCAAGATCCTGTGGATGTTCAACATTTGTTAATGGTCTTTTTAATTCTATCATAAGTACATATACAGTTCATGGAATTAGTTCCTGAGATAGGACACATTTCTTTCTATGAAAACACCAGCTGATTAAGAGTAACCTTTCCGAGGAATTTAGATGAAAAGTTTCTTGAGACCCCAGCTATTTAAGTAAGCCAAGACTAAGGAAACAAACAAACAAATCAAACTTTCAATTAAGTTATATAAAGGGAACAAATCAAAGTAAAAAAATAAATATAATTTTAGGAGGCTAAAACATATATAATAGCTAGTCAGAGACATTTGGATACAGTGCTGGATGACAGGTAAGGCGTATACAACCTTACGTATGTTAAGGCTGTTTTGAGTTACAAATGCTATGGGTCTGGCAACAATTTCAATGGACACAAAAAGAAATGAGTATGACTGTTTTAAAAGAATAGTGCTCCTGGCAACTGTTCATTTAATAAACCGTATTACATATGCACAATGGGGGTCCCTAAGGCATGGAAGCCATGTTATCGTGAAGAGTCAAGCACTCCTTTCCTTTTATACTACAGAATATAGTAAATCAATGTACTCGATCTGTAAGACATATTCAACCTCTTTTCTAAGCCCTCTGATTAAACATTTACCCAAACTATCCTGCGTCTCAGCAGGACAAAGCTGTATGGCAATTCTAACCATATAGCTAATTCTCCATGTAATGAAAGCAATTGTGTGATTTCACTAACTATGACTCAACCTAAAGGTCAACTGTCTATATCCTTTAATTTTCAAAAACTATCAGAATATAACAAACAAAAACAACACAAAATAGCCAGTCCATCAAGCGTTTGCGGTCGTCTGCTTCCCTAACTCTAAAACTGTATCATTTCTGTTACATTTTCAAATGATGATTTTTTCCAAATAACCAGTGAAAGGTTAATGGTTATTTTCACAATTAGTTCCAGATGTTTACCATTCTTTTCTGACGTCCTCAGGAAGATCATGTCAGCAGGGACCCGCTGGTTCTGTTACAAAAAGAAAGGCTGTTATTGTGCATAGGTGTATGCACATTTGTGTACCCCTACCCCCATGGCATAAAACAAAGGTTTTTTTTAAAAAGAATATTTAATTCTTTGTCCAGTTGGGGTTCAGGATTTATTTTATTTTGAATCCTAAAACAGGATCTCTTCCCTCCACATGTGCTAGTTCACTGCAGAAATCCAAAGACAAAAGGAATTAGGAGCCAGCTCCCATCGATTTCACTGGGAGCTGGCTCAGGCTCTAGGTTTTCAAAGAACTCATCCATTAGCTCTGAAGCTTCTCAAACAATCCAGCATTAGGAGCTTAAAGCCTGGACTGGTTTCCTTCCAAGAAGCCCTATGCTAGTAAAAAGACACAGGCATGTGCTTTCTTCTCTACAGGTTCTGTTTAGCCCTCATCTGTACAAGATGTTTGTTATATTACTGCTGATAGACATCTGCAGAAACAGAAAGTGGAAGTCCGTGAAAATCACCCTCTGAACAAAGGGGTAACTTGATACAGGGTCATCTGAGGTCATATAAAGTACATAGTTTTCTAGGTTTTCAATTTCCAGTCAACTACAGATACTTACAATATTATGCAAGGGACATCCATCAAGCTTCATACGTGGATAATGTATTTGCACATGCAATGTAGGTACCTGTTCAGGGCAAGTGGGTTCTGGTGCATCCAAGCACTCAGTTACAAGCATTTGCGTGTGCATGTGCACATTTTGTTGATGCACTTGGATCAAGAATTTGGTCTACTACAGATGTAGGACCATGTGGGGTTTTTATCTTGTCATGCAGAGGTAAGTGGGAACCTCAGACCATAGGGTTTCAAAGAGAAATTTGTTCCAATTTCTAGAAACTTTATTGAGAATTATTTAATACAGTATAAAATTACGGAAAAGGGAATATTACTAGGAGAGATGATTAAAGATCATCACTAAAATCCAGAACTCGATTTTAGCCATTGTAAAAAAACCAGTGACATGACAGATTTTAGTGAAATGTTCATATTGATTGTGTGAGAAAAAGTATTTTACAAACTAATCCCCCCGCCCCCACATACACACAATTAATACAAATCCACACAAACCTTTTCAACGATGAGAAGGTCCCCTACTTGGATACTAGAACTCTTCACCTTCACAGTTCCTGCAGAAGTGAAACAAACTTCAGTAAATTACAACCTTTTCAGCAAAAGATACAGTATAAATACACAGCTGAGCAGCATCTTTAGCAAAAGGTCCATCAAAGCTATACTGGAAACTGCTTGGGAATACTTTAAATTTGTTATTTTGGAGGTGGCCAGTAACAATTCTATAACACACAGAGCTGGTCTATACTACTTCTACCTGATGCTTTAGTTAAAGTGGTAGAGGCCTATGCTTTGGTGCTGGAGATCTGAGGTTCAATCCCCAGTAATGACCCAGCAGGGTGAAGTCATTCCATTATTTTTTTGTGCTTAGCATCCATGAATTTAAAAATGCCTTCAAAACTTGTTAGGCAGACTGTGGTGCAATGAAAATGTAACAGGGAGCTATGAATTTCTGGTGTTTCTTTTCAGCGAGGTAAGTGGAAAATTGAGGCTTACATCTTCAAAATAATACCTGACCACAATAATTAAAACAGACACGTCAACCTTAACTCACGGTTAATTTCCTTTTTGTACTGCAACCTTATAGCAGGCCAAATTCTGCAGTCATTCCTTTGTGACAACGAGAGCTTTGTCTGAATAAACACTATAAGATATGCCCCCTCACAAGAACATATAAACATTTATTGCCCTGCAGTTGTCAAGCATTTTTACCAGTTGTTTTAAACCAGAGAATTAATTTAACAATTGGCTAGTAATTTTAAATCATTAGCCAGTTCTAGATTTGGCTTCTCATGGTGACTAGTGATTTATTATCAGTTAATTTGAACTCTGCTTTATGTGGCTGCCTGCTATACTCAACAAAAGCCTCTTTAATCTGTTGTGGTTTGGGTAGAAGGGGGGGGAGACTCTGTGGGAGTTCATGCCAGGCAGAACCCCAGCATGGACAACACTCCTACTGTAATTTGCAATTCATTGGCTAACTGGCCAGCTACCAGCTCAGAAAGGGGGTGAAAAAAAAAGGGGGGGGGAAAAAAAAAAAAGGAAATTAGCACAAAGCACAAAGGTCACTGGGATTTTACTACTGGCAGTCCCTTCATTAGCATCCCTCTCAGGATATGCTTCAGTGTTTCTGCTCCAAATTAACAATGAAAGCCATTCTAAGCTGCTGGGCAACCTGCTGCTTTGGTGACACACTGTGTCCCGAACAACATGCCTCATCACTGCTGCTCATAAACGCAGACTTCCTTACCTGCTTTAATTATTGCTACAAATTATAAGCAGTCAAGGTCCATTTACAAATATCTTGTAGGTCTTCACAGATCTTGAGCTTTGGCTCATGAGAATTTAATTAACTACGGTAAACAAAATGAATATTGGGCTACTGAAATCGATAGCTAGTAGGGCAGGCAGCATACTCAGGGATTAGAGTCCATTACCTTCCATGGAGAGGTTTAAAGGGAATGCAGCACTTCAAAAATATCACTTCTAGCCCCCTTCTGTATGTCCTATACAACACGATACATTAGGACACTAAAATGGTCTGGCAGGTAACATCTCTTTCCTCCTCATATTGTCATTCATGGAATAATAGAACACACTGGTGAATACTCTACTGTACGGGGAAGGACACCCTAGGCACTTCTTCCTCGTAGCCACAGAGGTTCCCAAACCATGGTGCACAGAGCACTGAGTGGGGGGTATGTGAAGAACTGGGTGGTCACAGTGTGCTGGCCCCTCATTTCCAGCTTCTAAATTTAACTGCAAGTCATTTAAAATACTTGACATACTCTCCTAGCATCACTTTTCCATGTGAGCCACAGGGATGTTAGGCAATCATGAGTAGGAGGGGAAATGGTCTGTGGCATTGCAAATGGAGAGGAAGTGTTAATGAGACAAGCTGAATTAAAACACGGTTCACGCTAGGAAAAAGTTTGAAAACCCCTGGACATCACCCCCTTGTAACTTCCATCACATTCATAAAAAGCTTTATGGACCCTCATACATCAGCGTCTGGGAAATGGCAATACAATCTACTACAAGTAAATACACCTTGGTCATTATTCATGGTCTCGTCCCATAAGCATCTCAATGTTGGCACTTTTAAGGAAAAAGGGACAGACGACAGAAATATCTTTCTAACTAATCTGCACTCTCTAAAGAAGCCTGTTGCATGAGATACACCCTCTCCCTTTTAACTAGCAAAGCTAATTTTCTTTACCAACCAAATTCATGGCCCCTCATGGATGACATCTTATGGCAAACACCATATGTCACACTAAGAAGACAGGACCAGATGTTTCCTTTGACTCAGGACTCCCATAAAGCAATTTACTAAAATTAGTTTTATTTTAATCTTGGGAATTCTGTTTGTTTTTAAATCAGCTACTGAATACGGGAATTTGCTTATGCACATTTGAGATACCCAATAACACAAATGCTTCAATATCATTCTTAGTATTTTTCTACTATTGTAAAAAATAAGATACTTTTATATAAAATATGGATGCTTTTATAAATGCATGAAACAGTACTGTTCTTTGACAAGCAGCAATGTACATGGATTTTTAAAACAATCCAGATTTAACAAGGATTAAATTAAAAATACTTTAAATGTTATGTTTTAAGGCCTCCATTTTCTGAAGTTCATTAGAATGCTTAACACAAAATTCAGATCACAAAATTCTGCTCCATTAAGTTACATGAGGGTTTGTTTTTTTTAAAATGGTATTTGTTTCATTCTTAAAATGTGAGACAGGTGTTGTTCCGTTTTCCTGAAACAAAGGAATGTGTATGTCCCTTCTTGTATACAAAAACAAATATCATTCCCTCAAGTTTCTTGGTATTAGCTTTTGATGTGCCCTGAAACATGGTATTTGTGTCTGACAAAAGACAGAAAATATGCATGCTAGTGTGGAAATATTTCACTCCACCACACAGCTATGGGCTTTTGAATTTCCACCAGATCTGCTGTGTGATAAACGCACCATTATACAGATTATTTAAAGCGTCAAACATACCAGCAAGAGGAAATGTCTCTTACTACCATATAAGGGCCTCTATGGAGATTTCATGTGGGATTTCCACAGCCTTTATCACAGCAGAGAGCAAAACACTCTTCATTCGGAATTAAAAGTTGAAGCCAAATGTTCATGAAAACAAGTCAAATGCACCCTAGAATCAGAAATAGCTTTTTTCTTTTATCCATTCCATTAAGCTTTTGGCTTCTACAGCCTAACACTATATAAACTGTGGAGCATGGCAGAGAGGGGTTGGGAAAATATTGTTTTTATATGGCTGGTAAATGCCAGTGATCTGTATCTTAAGGAGCACCCCCTCGGTAGGAGTTCTTTTCACATTTCTTACTATTTGTGTAGTTCCTCTATTATGCTCTGTTGCCCAGGGAAGGGAAGGGAAAAAAGTGAGAGGAAACCAGAACAATCCTGTAATTGTAAGCAAAGACCTAGCTCTCTATCAAGCAAAAACCCTGCCTGCAGATTTGATAACAAAAGTGGTCCTGTAGGTTTGTAATAAGGGATTGAAATGTGATTGTTGTCCATTACAACCCAAACAACTGTCCTGTAAAACACTACTGACGCTTAAACTTTCTAGAAGTTTGCTGATTTTTAACTAAAATATTGAAGGGATCAAAGAGGTAACAACAGCAACCCATTAAAAAAAGGCAAAATAGGCTCAGTAATAATTGCTCTCTTATGCAGAATAAAGGATACAGCCCTCTAGAGTAAGGAAATTATTAATTTATTATTATTATACCCGTACTGGAGTGTGGCTACTATATTCCAAATAAGAAGTGATCCAAAGAGGATTCTCCCTTTTTCGCTCTCAAGAAAGCAGCTTATTGAATCTTAAAGAGGTTATCCAAAAGGATGCATTAGAAAATTGGTGAACCGGAGCAAAACTGCAAATAATTGCAAACTGCCAAAGGTGTTGCAGTAGGGCTTGCTGGTGAGCTCTTTATATTTGATCGGTGAAATAAGTTGTGTTTGGAAGTGCACGAAAAAGAGACTGTTCAAGTGAACAGAAAACCCAGATCTCTGCAGAGAAGGAACTGGCAGAATTCAAAGCAGGAGAAAGATGCACAGAAGACGACAAGATGATGCTAATTCAGGGAAGCACCTAAGCCTCTTTTCAAATCCATCCCTATTCAGGAAAGCACATAAGCATGTGCTTAAGTCTCACTGACGAAGGACATGTCTCCACTACCACTTATGTCGCTCAGTGGGTCTGAAGGGGAAAAAAAACAAAAACAAAAACAAAACACACCCCTGAGCAACACAAGTTTCGCCTGCATAAGTGATATTGTGCACAGCGCTAAGTCAGGGAGAAGAGATTCTGTCGCTGACATAGCTACCATTGCTCATTGGTTCAATTACATCGACAGGAGAGCTCTCTCCCATCAGCAGAGAGCAGCTACACGAGAGATCTTACAACGGTGCAGCGGCATCGGTACAGCTCTGCCGCTTTAATGTCTCACGTGTTAATGTTCATGCTTAACTCTGACTAAGCTGTCTAGATTTGTGCCCACGGGGCAGCGGGGAGAAGAGAGAAAAACTACACGAGTTCTAGATTTTGTAGCAATGTAGAGACATTCAACAGCAGAGATAAGAATATTCATCAGGAAATTATCATGAGAAATTAGTTCTGCCACAGTTATTCCTCAAGTATAGCTGTGTTGAGTTTCACTCCTTATTCTCCCTCTCTCATGCTGATGGCCATCTATAGGGGTGAAATTGTCCTGAATTAAAAAAAAAACACACGCCAACCTTTTAAAAGCCTTTAAGTCACTGGTACTGTCTCCTCGACTGCCCTTGTCAATGTGTTACCCTCTTGTTATTTGTATGTACCTTGAAGTCCCAGTCATTGGCCACGCCCTATCGTGCTAGCTGCTGTAGAAACATATCCAAAAAACAATCCTTGCACCAAACAGCTTACAATCTAAGTATCTGGAGTTTTGGTAAATTAACCCAAAATTAATTAATTAAAATTAATGGTAATAAGACTCTATTACTATGCTACTGGTGACTTTCATACACCTGGGGCCTGATCGTCTGAGGTCACTGGTGGCTGACAATTAAGCCCCTGAAAGTTGCTCGCTTCCATTCCTACTGTGTGAAATGGTTTAACTCTTTCCCAAAAATTGTCATGCAAATACTTATTTTAAAGTTGAGATAATCACTACTAATGTGCCCACTGAACATTTGAGCCTTACAATAAATAGAACAGAATATTGAAAGAGAGCATCATGAAACTGCCTGGGCTACTGTATTATTGTTACCTTACCAAATATATTTTAAAAAATTAATGAAATGGCTTGTATTATATGCTAGTGTCCAGCTGCCCATCCCACTCAGTTTCTTTCAAGAATTAGCGAAGTTAAGGAGGAAGGGAGGGAAAATCATTCATGGGAAACGTAATTGCAATATGAAAAGAACTAAGAAAAGGTCAGGCCCCTTATAGATCAATGAATAGAACACAGAAGGCAACTCTTTTATACCTTTAAATAGATGTAGTAAACCGCTCTTTGATGGGACTTTTGCTGGTTGCCAAGCATTTTAAATGTTGTAGTGAGAACATGTTATTAAAAGGGGATTTAATATTCAGCAACTGCAATGGCTTATTCCACAGCAGCCTCACAGTTCCTGGCTTGTGAAGTATGCATAATCTTAAGCAATTACATGCAAAAGAAGGCTTGTTCTCAAAATTGCAAAATGTTCATAGCATGAATCACACATGCAGCTTGTTTTACATACATGCTCAGATCACTGCACCTTAAAATTGAGAGGCTGCATATTTTATATCGAAGAGGACTGAGCCCCAGAAAAGAAGCTACTTAAAGCTACTCTCATTAAAAAAAAAAAAAAAATGCTCCTGTCATCATTGGGCAGCACTGCTAGCTATGCCATGGTTAAAACTATTATTCTTCAGTTGAAGTGGGATTTGCACTTCTTTGTTAGGCATAATATATATAATGATCTGAATCAAAAATCACACCACTAATACTTAGGGTACAGAATAAATTTTTGAGCAAGTCTGAAGTGAATCTATCCTATAGTTTAACTGTCTGGAAATGACCCTATTAACAGTTTTGATCTAGTGTCTATTTTATTTTTGGCTTATAAATGACTTAAGAGTCTGAACTACTCAGAGTTCAAGGGAGGGGCAGCTAAACAAAATATATTAAAAACACACAAAAAGTTATTAGCAATATCCCTGCTTAATATTTCTGTTGCTGTCGTGAAAACCACATGAAAAATATTAGTTGAATGTCAACATGTAATATTTTGCACAACAAAGCACTGGCGTGTAACACACTAAGATGTGAGCTTTTTGGCAAAGAGGGGCAGGTGGTGGCAGCAGGATTATGGAAGTGCGTGCCCAGTAGAGCCAGGTAGAAACTGGAATTTGGCACATACCCAGATGACATATCCTAAGATAGGCAAGAGCAGAGTTCTTCTACTCCTCCTACACACTTCAGAGAGGAGAGCATGACACCATACTTTTCTCTACACAATCTCCAAGGAGCTTGGTGCCAAGTATTTTCTACCCCAGCCTGCGTTATGCTTTCAGGGCTCCATTTCTTTCATATGATCACAAACACACACACAAAAATTAGAGTTCAGGCTGCTTAACTCTTCCGCAAAATAAGTAATGACATTATTGCCATTAAAAAAATGTAAGCATAAAAAAAAAAACCCAACTGGAAATAATGAAATAGCTTACATACATTTTATTACCCCTTCTCACCCATCTGGTTTAAAGATAATATTAACATCTGAAAAGTCACCTTATGTGTTAGTCACCTTAACGCTGACATATACACTTATGAACTCCTTCAGCACTTAGGTCACTAATTATATACTTGACATAGTTAGAAGAAGAATATAATTAGTGATGCATATGTTGAAAGAGTTCCTAAGTATGTATAGTAGAGTCACAGCTAAGGTAACACGTAAGGTGAATTTTCATGTCATAGTCAAGTGCATGCATAAAGCATTGGGGTAATAATGGATGTGTATGTAAATTATCTTAACTAGTTACACTGTGTCCTTCTAACTGCCCCTGGACCATGCTGAACCAAGCCCCTCCCACCCTCATCTGTTGCATCTACCTTTGACTAGCTGGTGTCTGGAAAGTTTTTTAAGCCAAGACAAGGTTATTAGAACGTTTAAGTAAATAACTGCCACCAATAATCTCCAGTTTTCTTTCTTTCTTTAGTTATTAATGGTTATGCGCTAGTTGTGTATTTTGTATCTGGGTTATATTTACTTCAGCAACCGTATTAGATATTGGTTTGTGAAAATCTTTCACTGCACACAGCAGAGCACATTATTTCCTTCCACACAAGTGACCAGCAAGGAAGTGTACCTGGAAAGCAAAAGTATTATTGAAAGACTCATGCATGACTACTCATGTGAATACAATACAATTTTGAACCCCCACATGATAGCTACCAAAGGCCTAGTTTTGCCTTCATTCCATCTACAATCTACTTCCTGCACTTGGATCTCCCTTCCTCTCCTTGGCCACTGAGGGACTTCCCTTCCTTTAAAGAACACTGCTCCTATGAGGCCATTCACTGATAATCAGGCAACTAAAGGATCTATAGTAGAGGAGGGACAAGGATACTTTGCTTTCATTTTGCAAAAGCAAACTCCAAGGTGATTCAGTTCCAGGTTCCATTTTCTCCAACATGCCATGGTACCACAAAGAAGGTCAGGGCACAGGTTTTACAACGGGCTGTGATTTAGGCCTATCAGTTTTCAAGAGCCTGATCTGCGAAAGTTCAACCTACATCCAATGTTTGCCTGGACTGGTGTGTCTGTGTGTAATTTAAATTTTAAATTTATGGAAAGAAACTACATCTTTCCATTCAGCCTGCACAGCACCAAACACAGCCTCACACACCCTATAAATAGAATACTGAGATTCTGACCACTCTGCATACAACGTGTCCCGGAGTTACTTGAAATAACTTGCCCATTCACATTTGCTCTAGATTTATTTCCTAGGGGAACGTTCAATAACTGGCAGCTTCAATTGTAGTTATGCAAGAAAGTATCTGCAAGTCTACCGAGACCTGCAGATGACTCTCTAGTGCTAAAAGCAACAAAGTGGACATTAAGCCACGTGCCTGCATGCCTGTAACCCTCCCGCCCTGCTTGAACTCTGCTTCTCTGACTGTCAGCAACGTTTGACTGAGTTGCAACTCCTGCTATTCCAGCAGTCTGCTACAGGATACAGTGGGGCAGAGGCAGAGAGCTGGAGCCAAAGAGCTGACCTCTTGCTGTGAGCTTGCTGTAGATCTGGGAGTTTACTTCCTTGTCGCGTGTGTAACATCTGATCTCCTCCACTGCCTCGCGAATGATGGTAACTGCAAGCACAAAACCCTAAAGGGGGGAGAAAAAAACTAAATGGATAAGAGGCCAGAAAACATCATCTGTCTCAGATCTGTGTAATGCACGATACTGACCAATGCCCATGCCTATATTCAATGTTTTCATCTTGTTTTCCTGACTTCTTATTGCTTAATTATTACGATGAGTGTTATACAGAACCCTGATAGCAAAATAACAATAGACTCATATTTTTTAAATATCGTTTTATATACAGGCTTTCTGTGCTGCTTGCCAGGCACATCACAAACAATTTACCCTCGCAATGCCCTTGTAAGGTAGGGAAGTTTTATTTCCATTTTACAGATGGGAACTGAGGCAGAGAGAACTTAAGCCCGGCTCCCGGCAGGTATTCAGGTGCATAACCTGGTCTACATCTAACTTAGGTCAACCTAGTTACGTCACTCAGGGCTTTGAAAAATTTCTCACCCTGCATGACGTAGTTAGGTTGACCTAACCCCCACTGCAGACACAGCCAGATTGATGGAAGAATCCTTCCATTGATCTAGTTACTGCCTTTTGGAGAGATGGATTACCTACATTGATGGAAAAACCCTTTCTGTTGATGTAGGAAGCATCTATACTACGGCTCTACAGAGGAACAGCTGCAGTGCTGTAGTCATGCCACTGTAGCGTAAATATGGGCTAACCCCCAATGAAATCAAAGGGAGTTAGATGCCTAAATACGTTGAAGGGTCTGGGCCGCTGTGGCTTGCCCCAGATCACACAGGAAACCCACTGCATTGCCAGATCTCCCGAGACCTTGTCTTGTGCCTTAAGCACAAGACCATCCAAGATAGTTCATCTAATTTGATCCTACAAACATACACGTGCCTAACTTTATTACCCTGAGTAGTGCCTCAAAATTAATGTGACTATTCACAGTATTAAAGCACTGGCAAGATTGGGGCCTAGATCATTCTCTTCTGTAGACGTGAGGAACAATTTCAGTTTCTTACAGCATGGAGAACATGCACATCATACTTTTAGTATTACCAAACTCCAAAAATAAGCAGCGCTCAGACAAAGCAACTCCCTCTCTGGGCTAGTATCACAAACTCATTTTATACTAGACATTATTCAGCTCTGATTCACTACACTGCTAAAACTGGCATGTCAATTAACAGAGCTGCGAGCGCTTTACACTCCATGTGAAAATTCATATTACAGAATCTTGTAATCAGGCAGCAGGGATCTTGTCAACAAATGCATCTGTTAGGTATCCAATCAAATTCCATTTTTTTTTTAATTGTTTAAAAGCATGACAGTTGAAACATGCAATAAAAGACAAAACCAAAGACAGATTTATAAATAATGCAGGAAAGGGTCTGATGAGAAAAGAAACAAATGGGATAAGAATTTCCAATGTGGTTAATGAATTTTTGGGTGCCTAACTTAAGATACCTTTCAAGGGACTTGATTTTCAGAAAATGCTGAGCACCCACCCTTTGAAAATCAGGCCTCTTTAAGACACCTCAAGTCAGGCACCCAAAAATTACTGATCACTTTGGAAAACCTTGGGCATACAGTGCTGCCAATATTACTACCTGACACTGACAATAATTAACCTTTTCACGTGTACTTCCCCCCGCTCCTCCCCCCCCAACAAGAAACTGTCTTTGGTTTACTGAAACTGAAGGAGAGCATTTTCTACAATTAAACTCAGATATTCTTATAGGTTTGGTTTTTGTGCACACAGTCTCACCTAAAACATACAACACTGTAATAAAATTATGCAGTGTCTTAACTACAGTTCATATGTATCAGTGCACAACCACAGGATACATTAGGAGGAAAAATTTGACATTAGCTTTGAAATGCAGAAGGTATTGCATGTATTTGCATTATTGAAAGGGGGCATTTTCAAAAGGACCTAACTCAAGCTCCTTTGAAAGTTTCAGCCTGAAAACGTTCCTGTTTATTAGACTGCAGGAGGCTTAATTAAGATAAACATGATTTAAAATATCAAGCCCGCCGCCCTCTTTTCAAGGACACTTGAGTATTTAGCAAAGAATACACTTTGGTACCTATTCTAATAATAGATAATAATAATCCTAATAATTCCACAAATTGTACGCAGTGCCAATTAATGTTAATGACAACTTTCTGCCTGTACAATAGAGAAGAACTGGTCAAAAAATGCTAATTTTTATAAGAATTTTTTTTTAAGTTTTCAAAATTTCCTGCATAAACTTCTACTTTTCTTTGACAAAACCCCAATATACTGAAAAATTTGAGTCTCCATTGTGTGACCACCATTGAAATGTTCCCAATATATTTTTGGCCATCATGAAAATAAAAGCCATTTTTCACAAAAAAAACACAAACGTTTTGACAAAAAAAATAATCCTACCAGCTTTGCTGTGGAGAGAAGAGAGTTGGTCAAATATACAAACTACTGAGATAGAGTCTCGTTACCTTCCATACATAATGCCCATTAACATTAACAGAAATTATATTCTTACATCAAGAGAGAATATGTCCTTAAGGCTTGGAATTGCTTTAATAATGTAAACATGGCATAGAACAGATTCATATTACAGAAGCCAGGAAGTCAATAATATACAAGATGATCTTTTGATAGAAGCAATTCATTCCAAAAGGGCTAGGGTCAGTGCATTTCACTTTGGGCCACTCAAAGATTTGTCAGTTGGGTAACTGACAAGCAAAAAAAAGACTGAAGGCTTCTCTGTCACTTAATGATTTCAGAAACTCCTAGGTGCTTTCAGATAAAAAGGAAAGAAACAATCTGTGTTGATTATTTTTAGCTTGCTTTGCGGATCCGTAATCTAAAGAGTTTGGGTATCTGAATTTCAAATAATCATCCAAAAATATTCCCACATGTGCTGCCTCACTATGCCATCATGTGTGTCATTCTATACCGAACACTTGTATCAGCAGTCAGTAATGAACAAAGACCTTTCTTATACTACTCTCTGGCAGCTCATATGCTGAATCCTAATTGCTCATCTGGCCTAGACAAATCACAATTGCTTATAGGATTCTACAAAAAAAAAAAAAAAAAAAAAAAAAAAAAAAAAAAAAAAAAAAAAAAGCACACTGTTGGGGGATGGGGGGGTAATGTGGGGCTTGTTCAAATTAGTTTGTGACACACTCACTTTTCCTAAACAGGACAAATACAATAACTTTGTCAGAAGCATATGCCAAAACACGAATTCAACCAGACAAAGGGCTGACTACCAGCAGAGTTTTAGTAGCAACTTCATGATATTCTTTACTTCTGGGGTATCAGTTTGCTTTTGCAAACAGGATGATCAGATTGAGGTAAATTTAATGGAAATCATTTTTCCCAATTCAGTTGAAAATGGGGAGAATGTTTTACCATCAATACCGCAGGAATTTTACCACCACTGATTTCCAAAGAGCAGCCTAAAAGTGTCATCTTTAAAATCATTGTGGATCTGTGATTATTTTAAATATCTTTTTGCTTCCTATATTGAAAGCAACAAGTTATACCCAAGGATTTCTAAAACCTGTTGGAAGATCCAGATAACTACAGTTCATTTGCAGCCCTGCTGAGTGAAGACAGATGGCAGCACAGGTTTGATGCAAGTGTTTTCTGCCATTTGTTTATCAAAGCTGAACTGTTAACGTACTTAAATACTATGCAGAAAACATACGATATTTCTTGGTGATTAACTTCCAGCTGACCTCATGTGCAAGAGAGGGATGTAAACCCCTAGGAGGCTGCTTACTGGAAGTGGAAGGGAAAAAAGTATAGAGGTGCATAGATTTTTAAGTGGTTGTTGTAGCTTCAATTGGCTTGTGCAGTGCATTCCTAAGTGCATTGGCCACGTAGTTTAAATTATCTTATCATCCCATTCAATCACTCCTTATTGTGCCTTTTTAACTCTTCCCCCATACCCCCCGCCCTCCCAAAAAATCAGTGTTGTGTCCTTATTTTTTTTAAATCACCATCCCCTTTTATCTGGTCTGCTCCTAAACACTTATTTCTATTGCCCCAGATGTCAAGAATTATAATTCAAAAACCAGTCAGAGAACACTTCAACCTCCCTGGTCACTCAATTACAGACCTCAAAGTCACAATACTCCAACAAAAAAACTTCAGAAACAGACTCCAATGAGAAACTGCAGAATTGGAATTAATTTGCAAACTGGACACCATTAAATTAGGCTTGAATAAAGACTGGGAGTTGATGAGTCATTACACAAAGTAAAAACTATTTCCCCATGCTAAATTTTTCCCCCTACTGTTACTCACACCTTCTTGTCAACTGTTGGAAATGAGCCATCCTGATTATCACTACAAAAGGTTTTTTTTTCTCCTGCTGATAATAGCCCACCTTAATTGATTACTCTCGTTATAGTTGGTATGGCAACACCCATTTTTTCATGTTCTCTGTGTATATATATATCTTCCTACTATATTTTCCACTGCATGCATCTGATGAAGTGGGTTTTAGCCCACGAAAGCTTATGCTTAAATAAATTTGTTAGTCTCTAAGGTGCTACAAGTACTCCTCGTTCTTTCTACAGTCAATGGCGTCAAGGAAGTCAGCTATAAAACCCAACGTCCAGAGTTTTAGAATTACATGCACATCTTACTGGAGATCTGATATGCATATCTGTGATGACTACCCAGGCATGCATATGTACATATACAAGCAAATGCACATGTTTCTGAAAACAGGGACCTAAATGTTAAAAAAGTCATCTCCTGACACCTTACAACCCTGACTTCCACTGGAAAAAGAAGCATGGCAAGGTTTCTTTGAGCAGCTGCCACAGAAAGGGAGCTTGGCTCACATGCACAGCAAGAGGTAAGGGGCAGGCAGAAAAGAGCTAGATAGAAAACATTTGAGAACTCTGTAATAAGGAACAGGGGATAGCCGTGTTAGTCTGTATCTACAAAAACAACAAGGAGTCTGATGGCACCTTAAAGACTAACAGATTTATTTGGGCATAAGCTTTCGTGGGTAAAAACCTCACTTTTTTTTTTTTTTTAACCCACGAAAGCTTATGCCCAAATAAATCTGTTAGTTTTTAAGGTGCCACCAGACTCCTTGTTGTTTTTGTAATAAGGAAGTTATTCAACTCTTCCTGCAGATTTGAGATTGAAATAAAGCCACATGGCGCCCTTGTGGATGCACCAATTTACTCTAGAGATCTGCCTAAGAACTTTAACGAGAGACGGGAGAACCCATCTCAAATAGGTAGCTAGCATCTCTTCCCAAAGACTGTAGTGAACTTGGCTTTCTGACTTCTTCCAACCTCAGGGGAAATATATGGTTGGAAAACAACAAATCAGTATGTGTGTGTATCGGGGGTGCAGAGGTTTCAGGAGAAGTATCTATGCTCTGAGCAAATATGAATAAATAAAATGTAAAAATATATATTTTAAGAAACTAAAACATGTTATTTTAAAATCAGCCTGTTGACCCATCCAAAGGCTCTAAGTCAAACTGTTTGGCGGGACTGCATGATTTGCCTTCATTGCACATACGGTCATTCATTAAGGTCACTTTTGAAAACTGCCCTTTGGTCCTTTGCTTCACCTGACAAGCTTTTCTGAAATCCTGCTGATTTGCAGCCCTCTTCTGGAATGCTTTGCCAAAGCAAAATGCTCTGACGCAGACCCTCCATCTTCACCTTTAACTTTCTAATAACTTAGCAACTGTGATCAATACTCTCAGGAGCCAGGAAGATGTTTACTTTGCTCGCCATTTATTCTCTCACTTTTTCTGAGTGTAGAAGTGGGCCAGTTGCCCCAGTGGTGGGTATGCCTAGTGGCAGTTGTGTAAGAGGCAAAGAATTATGCCCCTATTAACTCAGATGAAGAGGGTATAGGTAGCGGATGCTATCATGCCTTAATGTCCAACCTTTATGAAATTAATTTAAAAATGAGAACAAGCATCTACACTCAGAACATTTAGAGAGCAGACTTCCTAAAAATAAGCTGCCAAAAAATCATGTGAGACACAGAATTACTTAGATCGGAGAGATAAGACAACAAAGGACATTTTGTATTCAAACACTGAAACTTTCTTGAATAAACAAACCGTAGATTACCTACCAAGGGAACCCAATACGTGTAAAGTGCACCAAGCCTCATTTCAGGGACAAATTGAGAGCAGGCCAGAAGTAAGAAGTAAAGATTAAAAAAGTATTTGAACTGGTTAAACAGCACCTACAAAAAAAGGGAGAAGGGGAGAGGTTAATGGCCATCTCAGAGTTATGCATATTGAACTACTGATAAGAGACATTCATTTCTGCTAGCTCCTGTAATGTCTAAATCCTAAATAATGATAGCAAAGTAGTGCTGGAAATAATTTCCAAGAGGTCATCTTAGTGAATATAACAACATGCACACAAATGTAGCTGTGCTATAGAACAGATTCTGCAGTAGTTAGTCTTTAATACATACATATGATTTTACCTTTAAACTTTTGACAAATACCACTCAGAAAAGTGACAGCAACTGTAAATAGGGGATGTCTAACCAACATTATGTTTTGCCATAAAAAATATTCTAAATATATATTTAAAACAAATGCAGTTTCAACTTGAACTGGTTGTGAGAATAGCTCCACTGTCCCTTGCATACTGAACCACCACCAGTCAGAACTCTCTTTCATTAAGGAGTGGTTTTGCTTTTAAACTGATGACAGACTATGACAATGTGAGCTGAAAGCAAAGGGCATACGTGGTCTGGCCATGCATCATGATGGCTCTGTGGCCAGAGGGCAACCTGTGGATGCAACACAAAAGAGATGCTGATAAGCAGGAGGGCCATCTGCCCTGTTGCCATTGTCAGGGAGAAATTGGAGCCAGCAAGAAGCAGTGCCAGCCAACAAGGAAGAATGTACCACAGCAAACTACAGCCAACAGGTGGGCAACAAGGGGATGTCCAAAAATTGCCCCAATCAGCTTCTCACCTGCCATGTGTCTCTCCCTAAATAAAGTGCTCCCTCTGCAGAATAGCCTCAATAGAGTCAGCGCCTCAGTGATTTTGTCAGGTAATCCTCTTATTTATAGAGGTGAGATCATCCAATCAGAGAACAGAAAACATACCAGGTGACTTAGGTGCCTAATCACGCAAACCAGTATCGAATATTCAAAGGAGCACTTGCTATGAGCCGTTTGCCAAAATCCATATGCCCAAGCACAAAGGCAGCACATGAGCTGATTTTCAGTAGCACTCACACTGCCCGGGTCCTGGCCACCGGTCTGGAGGGCTCTGCATTTTAATTTAATTTTAAATGAAGCTTCTTAAACATTTTAAGAACCTTATTTACTTTACATACAACAATAGTTTAGTTATATATTATAGACTTATAGAAAGAGACCTTCTAAAAACGTTAAAATGTATTACTGGCACGCAAAACTTTAAATTAAAATGAATAAATGAAGACTCGGCACGCCACTTCTGAAAGGTTGCTGACCGTCACCAGAGCATGTCTTCTCTGCCTGTGAATTTTGGAAAGAAACCCTGAATAGGCTGTCATAGAACTGACTGACTAGGTGGGCCTGCGTGATTCAGTGGACCAAGAACCCCATGTAACAGTATAGAGGTGTTCTGACTGCCATTCCAGCCCATGAGCTTCAAAAGCATTAACATAAGGGCTGCAATGAAATCCATCCACATGACAGGGGTAGATTCCATTCATCCCCTCCCTTAAATCCCATAAGCTTTGGGAAGAGTGAATTTCACCCATAGAGACAGCAATGTGAGATTTGTACGGCATCTATTCTACAACCATACAAACTATTAGTTAATTTTATGTTCAACAAAAAGTGACGTTTAGGCAGTGCTGTGACTAGGTATTTTAGTGCCAGGGGTGAGCAAGCATATTTGTGTCCCCTATCATTTCCCTCTCTCCCCCCACCCCATTTTTCTGCCCTGACAGCTTTGCACCCTGGGCTGCTGCCCTGCTCTGGTTACAGCCCTGAGTTTAGGCAAGGTGTATGAAGCATATTCCTAACCACTTTATAGGATCAGAATATTAGCTCTTTCCTCTGACTTAAGGTTCAGCATTCACTATGTTGTAAAAATCACTGAAAATGAGGAAGGTGTTAGGGGTACAAAGACGTGAAGTTTAATGGGCATACATACCCCAGGAAGAAATGTAAAAAAGTTGTATTTCTGATTGTTGATCACATTGCGAGGGTATCTCTGGTCTCTTTTTTCTGGATGGCCAAGCCAAACCGTACGAGGCCTTGGGTCTCTTCTTCCGCAGCATCTCATACACTCACAACACCTATTGGAAGGACATATTTAAGTTAAGAAGAAGTCTCCATTTTATCCCCCTCCGTGATCCAGCCTACGTCCCCTGCCCTCACTTAACAAAACAACTCCCATTTCTTCCACAAAGCTTATTAAACACAGACTCTCCCCCATATCATCCCCCAGCAAAGTGCTAAATAAACCCATATAAAAACTACAGATGCATACTGAGCATCGCTGCTTGTTCAAATCACTTGCCATCTTCTATCTGTTCACTGTCAATTTAGATTGTAAGCTCCTTGGGGCTGAGCCCTGGACTCTTTATTGGTCTGCAAAGTATTTAGCACACTTGAGTATCAGAGGGGTAGCCGTGTTAGTCTGGGTCTGTAAAAAGCAACAAAGAGTCCTGTGGCACCTTATAGACTAACAGACTTGAGGCACTATAGGCCTGAGCCAAAGCCCATTAATGAAAAGATTTCCCTGGGCTATGGATAAGGCCCTATATAAATCATATTACTGTTAATGATATGCAGCATTTGTATGGTGTTTTATATGTTTAAAGCACTGCATAGACATTAACTAGTTAACCCTCATTGACATTCCTGAAGGGTAGGTGGGTAATGCGTTATTATTCCCTTTTTAGACGTGAGGAAACAAACATTGAGAGATAACTTGACTCGCCCAAGTCCACACATTGAGTTAGCTCATCTTTTCCAAGATTAGATTGGAAACATCTGAGAAATTCTAATTTGAGATTCATTTTCTGCTATCATTCCCTGACTGGAGTCTCATATTACCATGAAAAGATCACAGGCTGGTGCAGCCTTAGATATAAGGAACTCGCATAGCAAAGAAGGATTCTGGTTTGGTTTTGTCCTCTTCTGTCAAAACAAGTTTCTGGAACTAAGGAAACATGCGGTAGCAGGAACTCTCTCTGCATTGCTCCAATTGCAGGATCTAGGCCTGAGTGGCACAAAACTGCCCTGACTGTATTTTGCTAAAAGAGTTGTTGCTTTTCATTGTTTAACTTCACGGGTGCTGTGTGAAGATCCACATGAACAAAAGGGGAAGTGAACTGACTATGGCTGGGAAGCAGTAGAAAGGTAAATACCCAAGATGTTGTTAAATGCCCAAAGCAAACTGAAAAAAGATGCAGACTTTTTCACTTCCCTGCAACCTCTTTAAGTGATAGGAACCTTAGCTGATACTTTTAACAATAGAAGGTACAAAATATTCAAACAAATATGAATTCTATTTGTCCCTTTAATGTCTGTCACAACACAGTATTTGGCAAAAAACAAATGCATGGCATATTCATATTTTTATTTCCTCCAAAACAGTCACAAAAAAACCATCAAAATTGGAAGCCCGTCATGTTTTGATTTTCTACCCAGATGGCATTCTTTGTGCCATGGAAGACACTCTCCTCCTCAGTGGCACCGACTTTCTAATTTGCCCTGGGGGAGGGGTGTGTGTGCTCAACCCACGGCTCTGTCCCAGACCTGGTCCCCACTCCACCCCTTCCCCCAAGCCCCCACCTGCTTCTTTCCACATCTGCCCTGCCTCTTCCTACCCCCTCCCCTGAGTGCCCCCGGCCTCGCTCTTCTCCTCTCCCCCCCCCCCCCCCCCAGTGCCTCCTGCACACCACGGAACAGCTGATCACAGTGGGCGTGAGGCGCTGGGAGGGGAGGGGAGGGAAGGGGGCTGACGGTGGGTGCTCAGCACCCACCATTTTTGCCCTGTGGGTGCTCCAGCCCTGGAACACTCAAAGAGTCCGCATCTATGCTCCTCCCATCACCAACTTTAAATTTTAGCTAAAATAAACAAGAAATAAACATTTCCAGCTGTAGTCCATTAATCTACTCTTCTCCCTTTTCTGGGGCTAACATTAAGGCTATGTGACATCTCCCCTGTCCTTCAGTAGAAGCCACAGAGGGAAATCCTGAAAGCCACAAATTTCAGCGTAACGTGGGTAAAACTGACACTGTGACTATAGGATACCCCCTACTGTAATGTAGATGTATTTGAAGTATGGACTATAAAATACTAGCCATGCTACAGTATATGGGGATGTTTCTATATCACCTACTTGCAAAACATGAGTATCTGCAATTTTGGCCCTATCATGAATAATAAAAAGACCAAGGCTTGATCTTGCTGTAGCTGAAATCAACGAATTCTAAAGAGATACATTTGCCAGAATCAGAAAAGGGAATGCATGTCATCTTTCAGATTTATATTGTACACAAGTTAAATTTCCTCCAAAGTATGTTAGGACATCAACTCCCAGAAATCTATATTCTTGGCTTTTGAAAGAAATCAGTGTCACCAACTCTCCTGATATTTGATGTTTTTCTTAAAGCCACAAAGATTCCCAAGAGGTCAGATTACATGAGAATCTCAGCTTTCTTTTTTTTTCTTTCTTTTAGCCCTGCTGGTGGCAGACTAAAGACAGAAAATGAAGACTCAGAAACCTGAAGGCAAATAAAAAGAACCCCCAAATCATTCCTTCTAAAACCCTCCTGATTTTCAGGCACTCATGATTCTGGGAGCCTAACATGATATTTAAATCTTTAGAGTTGGCAGAATTGAGTGAGTTTTCTTCCACATGGATAGCTGAAACTGCTCAGGACCTCCCTCTTTCATGGCTATTTGTAGACTGGACTTGTTATTCTGAACAACTGGTAGCTGCCACACCCTACAGTTTACACAGGAGGTGGAATTCGGCCTCTCTGTCCTGTTTACAATCCTCACAAAAAGCTCCTGTACAGGCACGGTGCCGGCAGCACAGGTCAATGTCTGCTATTGCAGCTGTCATTTCAGAAAACAAATTTCACTATCTATTGCCCAAAAATGGTTTCAGGCAGTTGACATCCATATTTGTATAAAACTCCACCTCACTCCCAAAGAATGTGAACAATATCAGTTTGTACTTTGTCACTGTGTCACAATCAATAGGTGTGACATCATTGAGCAGCATGCACCAATCTTTCTATTGCCACACCCTAGGACACATATTTGCTGAATTACTAAAGTGAATCCCATCCATAATGGGAGGGTTACCCACATTCTGCTAAGAAAAAGCAATGGCTTAAACACCGGAGCCTGCAGTGTTTATGTTCAATTAAATCTATGCACCTTTTGCATATGGTTCCTGACCAGGCTCTAAACTTGTACAGTTCCTTCTGTCTCCAGCTCCATAATGAACACAGAACAATTCTGTCGCTCTCCTGCTGATTTGGTGGTCATTTGGAATTCCATACTCATCCTGAAGAATTTGCTCTCCCAATCTCCTCCCCTGCAAATAATTATTACATCTTTTTAAACCTATAATAGGAATGATCCATTGCATGTCCCATCAGTACAAGGCAGGCTGCACCCTATCCCAAGGCCAGCTCAGTTTGGATCAGCAGTGTCATTAAAACATCCAATGCAACACAGCAATCCTCATTCTATTATCCACAAGTCAGTTACAACCATTTGGCACTTCTCCTGACACAACTTGATGTGCATTATACTGCTTTGATCCCAGTTATTATAGCTAGCAAAAAATCTGGTCCCAAATGTATCAGAAAGAAATACAAAAGCCCCTAATACACAGGAGAAATGGAGGAATAGGAGAACAAACAGATGAACATAAAAACGGCCTTACTGGGTCAGACCAATGGTCCATCGATCCCAGTATCCTGTCTTTCAACTGTGGCCAGCACCAGATGCTTCAGAGGGAATTAACAAAAGAGGGCAATAATTGAGTGGTCCATCCCCTGTCGTTCAGTCCCAGCTTCTGGCAGTTGGAAGTTTAGAGACACCCAAAGCATGGGGTTGCGTCCCTGACCATATTGGCTAATAGTCATTGAAGGACCTATCCACTATGAACTTATCGAATTCTTTTTTGAAGCCCAGTTATACTTTTGGCCTTCACGACATTCCACAGCAATGAGTTCCACAGGTTGACTGTGCGCTGTGTGAAGAAATACTTCCTTATGTTTGTTTTAAAGCTACTGCATATTCATTTCATTGGGTGACCCCTGGTTCATGTGTTATGTGAAGGGGTAAACAACACTTCCCTATTCACCTTCACCACAACATTCATAATTTTACAGACTTCTATCATACCCACCTTACTCGTCTCTTTTCTAAACTGAGCAGTCCCAGTCTTTTTAATCTCTCCTCACGTGTGTATTTCTGTATCTGCTTGAAGATACAGAAATTTCCCACTCTCCTTTGTCCTTACAAAAGGACATACTCAGAAACAGTCTGTCTTTTTCAAAATGGCAATGCTGTAGCCTTCCAAGTCAGCAAAGGTTGTTTTTCCTCAAGTTTCCTCCTGTCACTGCTTGAAATAAGAGCTAATCTTTTCCCCCCTTTTTATGGCAAAAGGATCTGTATTAGATTTCATTGACATTTGAAATACAGCCTCATATCAGATGCAAGCTTACAACAGAAAGCCTTGGAGATCAGATAGAAATGCATATCCGACTCACTACATTAGATAACAATGTCAAGATGTCTGCCTTAAATTATAACAGTCATCTGCTCAAACAATTTGGGTAACTGTATCTCTGATCAGAAATAAAGCAAGTAAATTTCCATTTAAGGAAGTATTCAATGCTTTCCGCAGGTAAACTCTCTCTATACGTATTGCAGAACAGGAAACAGCATGGTGAATAGAGCACACCATTCACTGCTACAAAGGTGGTTTTATACAAAAGTATCACCTTTCATGCATTCCACCCCCATCTGCAAATAAACACAGAAAAAAAAATCTTATCTGTTAAGAAAACTCCTTCAGAATCCAAAAAGCTTGAAAATCCAGTTGGTTTACAGAAGTTAGCAAGGAAAAGGTAGTCTAACTCAAAGTATTTCATGGACATCTAAATGGATTAAACTTTTATAAGAGGCATTTTCTCACTCTTTTTAGACCAGTGCAAAACTATTTCCCACATAATCAGATCACTATTCTGATGTGATTACATTTCGCTAAAAAGCAGTAAGTGAAGCATCGGAAAGATAATTTGTGTGTGTTGTGGTATAGCCTACGGGCATCAATTAGATCACAGCCCCATTGTGCTAGGTGCTGTACAAACGTACAGTAAGTGGTAGTCCCTACCCCAAAGAGCTTACAATCTCAAAAGAAAAATATATAATAAAAATGATCTCTCTATCTATTAAGTTTTGCAAAAACCTCCATACTGAGAAAGCATGGAATCAAACAAAAATCTTGTCTCATACTACACAGTACTGCAGAGTACACTACTACTGCTCCTAAAGGTGAAAGACCTATGGCTTCTCTCTACAGAATTACTGGTAGTTATGATTACAGAATAGTAGTTTTGGTAGAGAAGAAGAGTGAAATGCCATCAGCTAAAACACTGGATCCCAGCACTGATTCCCTACAGCTTTGTCACATTTCTGTAAAAAACACATTGCGTCTAAATTATGGGTTCATCACGTTTTTCAGCCTATAACAATACACAGGTCAGCTTTATCACAGCCTCACCAGTTAGCATCTGCTGCTCACTGCAAACTATTTGTTCATTTACTAGAGGAAAATGTATGAGAATTCTGGAAAATTTAATAGAAATAAATACAGCTGGAAATGTTAGTAACTTGAATGATTAAAGCAATGAACAGATATCTCAACTTATTGAAATAAAATAATCTAGAACATCTTTTACCCTTCAAGTATCTATGACAGTCTCTGATTTTTAATATGGGCTTTCACCCAGGTCATTTACATTTGATTACTTTTAGAAAGTGACACTGTGTGTTACTCTGTGTTTGTACAATGCCTAGCACATTTTTGACTGGTCTTTAGGTATCACCATAATAAACGTGATTCATAATAATTCAAAATCTATCCAATTTCTAAAGAGAGTTAAAAGTAGTTTCCGGTACAACTCTTGCATCTGAATCTCCCTGCCAATTTTTGCAGTTTTACAATCACAGGCTTGGTCTACACTAACCCCCTAATTCGAACTAAGGTACGCAACTTCAGCTACGTGAATAACGTAGCTGAAGTCGACATACCTTAGTTCGAACTTACCGCGGTTCAGACGCAGTCCACAAGCGGCAGGCAGGCTCCCCGTCGACTCCGCGGTACTCCTCTCGCCGAGCTGGAGTACCGCAGTCGACGGCGAGCACTTCCTGGTTCGACTTATCGCATCCAGACCAGACGCGATAAGACGAACCCAGAACTTCGATCCCCAGCCGCCGAACTAGCGGCTGGGTGTAGACCAGCCCACAGTTTCTTGTTTTTTTAAAGATTACTCTGTCTTCCACTCCTCCTTTTTCTCTCCCCACTGACTGAAGACAGACAGACAGACAAAAAACTATGGGAAATTGACTATACAAGGCAAACAATTAAACTGACCTCACAAAAAGTGTAGTCAAGTTTACAAATTAAATTTAAAAAAATAGATGTTTTTAAATCTAATTCCTTTCAATCATGATTATAGGTGTTGCTTGTAGACTTAGAAAAAAAATTCAGACAGTGCTGTGATTTAAGTCAATGTTTTTCCTTTAAACTATACTAGTGCTATTTAAGAAATAAATTAATGAAATGTTGGTGCTCAGAGAGGTGTCAAAAGGGAAATATATTTGTTCATTCTTAGGAATGGGAGGATTGTTTTCTCAAATCTCAATGAGAGAGGAAAGAGACTCAAAGTTAGCCAGATTTACTCATTTTAACTGCTGTATTTCAAATGACCTTCAGTGTGAAGTTCTAAAATAGAGGCTTTACCAAAAGGAACATGCATTTACAATGCTCAGTTTATCTCCACAACCTGCTTCACAATTACAGATAGATTCCCGCTTATCATATATTTGAAACCAAAGTTACTTTTGCTTATCTTTCAGATTGAGCCTCTTTTGGTGATTCTACTGAAAGAAATAAAGAGCTACATATCTTTATAGTTACATGAGGAGATAGGGCTAAAAGGGGGACCAAATATTTTAACATGGATCTTCTAATGTTCTTGGGTTACTATAATCCACCAATATGTTCCAAAGATTATTTTAAATGATCCAAAACTAACTTCTAAAACTTTAAAAGTATAAACAGAATCACTGATACATTTCTTCAGAAATAGAACAGAAAATAACACATGAATGACGCTAATATAAAACAGTGGCTTGAATGTTTTTATAAAAGGAAGTGCTCTGTGTTGAGATAAATATACACATTTTAAACAGCGCTTAGGTTCTTCAAATTTCTATGAACTTATAAATTACTGAGTATATAGAACACCTAACAAGATTTTAGTAACAAGACAGATTTGACCATAGTTAAAGCTCAAGATCCTGATCCAGCAAATCATTTAAGCATGTGAATTCTCTCATATATTTCAATATGGCAACTCAAGTGCTTAAAGTTAAGCTCGGGCTTGAGTGCTTTGCTGGATCAGGGCCAGACTAAAACTTAAGAAGCAGACCACTGTCAGCACTACCAAAGGAAAAGAGGGTAATGGACCATGATTTCACTATAGGTGCTAAACTGAAAGTGAGAGCACCTTTTGTAAACAAGTCTATCATCTCACATAATATCCCCACCACAAACAGGAGTGTTGCTATTAGAACAGTACTTCACTACAAATACAAGTATTGAATAACAGTTAATTATGTTAACTTTTAATAATTCATTTGCAATTTCTGCAACTCCTAGCCAACCAAAGATCCCACAACTTCGTTAGATATGGGGGAAAGAAAGTTCAACATGTATTTAAACTCTAGAAGAAAGACTTCTTGCTTATCTGGATTCTGAAAGTGATACATATAATATTGTCCAAGTAAAGAAGAACTATCGCTACTTACAACACATTTGATTTCCAACACATTTGCTGGGAATTTACAAGAGATTCCCTATTATGTTTTCTTTTCTATTTGAGGGCATTTTTAAGTGATCACACATAGTCCTGGATATCTATTTATATGTTGTTTGTACTTTCATACTATCTATAGAACCTTATAATAAAAAAGGCAGAATCTGACCTATGCAGTTCTGTAACAAAGACTTTTTATCCAATTTAAAGAATGCAGTAAAAAAAACAAAACAAAAAACAGACATGTTACCTCCAGTTGGCAATAATACAAATCCACAGGTTGCAGTTGATGGTTTAATGGACTAACCGGAAAAGTCAGTCAGCAAGTTTCAGAATCACATTACATCCAGCCTTCTCCAGAAAATGTAAAGCTAAACAAAGAAAGCATGTGCCAGTGTATTTCCACAGATAGGTTTTAAAATATAGCTAACGATGCCAGGAATACAAACTTTGACCTTTATCACTTGTATGTTCAA